CCGTGTACGTTAGGCCCATATTGGAGTATGCGGCACCAGTTTGGAACCCACACCTAACCAAGCATGTAAAGAAACTAGAGAAAGTGCAAAGGTTTGCCACAAGACTAGTCCCAGAGCTAAGAGGTAAGTCCTACGAGGAGAGGTTAAAGGAAATCAACCTGACGACACTGGAGGAGAGGAGAGATAGGGGGGACATGATAACGACTTACAAAATACTGAGAGGAATTGACAAGGTGGACAAAGACAGGATGTTCCAGAGACTGGACACAGCAACAAGGGGACACAGTTGGAAGCTGAAGACACAGATGAATCACAGGGATGCTAGGAAGTATTTCTTCAGCCACAGAGTAGTCAGGAAGTGGAATAGTTTGGGAAGAGATGTAGTGGAGGCAGGATCCATACATAGCTTTAAGCAGAGGTACGATAAAGCTCATGGTTCAGGGAGTGACCTAGTGGCGACCAGTGAAGAGGCGGGGCCAGGAGCTTGGACTCGACCCCTGCAACCTCAACTAGGTGAGAACTAGGTGAGTACACACGCGCACACACACGCACACAAAATACTGAGAGGAATTGACAAGGTGGACAGAGACAGAATGTTCCAGAGATGGGACACAACAAGGGCCCACAGTTGGAAGTTGAAGACACAGGTGAATCACGGAGATGTTAGGAAGTATTTCTTCAGTTACAGAGTAGTCAGGAAGTGGAATAGTTTGGGAAGCGATGTTGTGGAGGCAGGATCCATTCATAAATACACGCGCAAACACTCAAAGCGCATATTTTGCAGTTGCTATCGTCGCTTTTCCTTCTGCCGTTCCTACTGTTACTCCCCTCAAGGAAGGTTCCTTGATGTTGGTGAGGGGCTCTTGATTTAGGAAATTGGATCTGTGCTCCAGTTCCCCGAATTAAGCCTGAATACCTTCCACACCCCCCCTTCCCCAGGCGCTGTATAATCCTCCGGGTTTAGCGCTTCCCCTTGATTATAATAATAATAATCCTACTGTTACTGCTAGTGCTGCCGTTGTTACTGCTGTCGCTGCTGCTAATTTCGCCGTCAATTCTGCATAAGTCAGCAAGGGGAACGCCTAGCCTTCATACAATTCTTCAGACATCACGAAAATGAATCAATCAGCGTCTGGTAGCATTTTTTGTATACAATATCGGTTCAACAACCGATAACTGCTACACGCTATCGCCATCGCTGCGTGTCTTACGTGATGTAAATATACAATTAACCAGACGGGCACTCAAGAGAACAAGTTACAGTTTAGTCAGGCGTCTCTTAGAGACTGAAGGGCGCACTACTTTACTGCCAAAGTTCGCGTCGACAAGCCACTGGCGACAATAGAAGACTATTAGCAGTTAGAAGAATGTATTACCAGTTAGAAGACTTTATTGACAGAAAAAAATATTACCAAGTAGAAGGCTTTATTAGCAGTTATCCATAGGTTATACGAGTTCGCAATTGAAACAGGTATTATTGCAATTATATACAGTAGTTAGTTCATGTGGGAGGTGTTGCTGGTTTATGTGGGAGGTGTAGCAAGTTTATGTGGGAAGTGTAGCTAGTTTGTAGGGATATGTAACTGGTTTGTGGGAGGTGTAGCTGGTTTATGAGAAGTGTACCAGTTTATGTGGAAGGTGTAGCAGCCCCTTACTCAAACATCTCACATTGTTGTGCACAAGTAAATCGTCATAGCATCGACCTCAGTTAGAAAGCTTCGGAGTAGACGGACTTGTAGTGCTGACGTTGATCGAAGGAAGTTTACTAGCTTCATAATAGTCTCCATGAGGTCACCATATTCATCTCCCAGACTGGTACACACTACTGATTAGTGGATAATGCAGTGATAACTTATCATATCGAGATTATCTTCCTTTAATCTTGCGACTAGTGCCCTCTCTCGACCAACCATGTCTGGAGCTCCATCTGTGGTCAGTGAAATGATGGATTTGACATCACTATTTCTCGATTCTAAAAATGATTTTCAAGGATCCATATACGTATATTCTCTCCTCGTGTTCTTCCTTTAAGGTCGGTCACACCCAACAAGTCCTGACAAAATTCTTTTTCTCTGCGTCATAATATCCCACAAATACCATGAGTTGAGCATTATCGGTACTGTCTGTTGACTCATCTAAAGCCAATGACATACAAGGTGCTTTTTTCACTCATAGATCAAGTTGCGACATAAGATCTTCTGCCAATAGTTCTGTTCTCCTCGCTGATGTATTATCAGATAATGGAATCTGCTTTATTTTTTTTATATTTTATTTAAAACATGACATTACAAAAATATAATATATATAAAGCTCATGTAGGGCTATAAAATTAACACAATCCTACCTACAGCTAACATTATACACCACACTTACAACTCCGTGTGGGTTCAACCCCCCCCCCCTCTCTGTTCCCTCATCCTATCACTTAACCCAAACCTGTTGGAGCTACCCAACTTATCAGAATTATACAATATGAACAACACTTTTATATACACATCCCTCGAAATGGTACGTAATCTGTACCCTCAGAGACATCCATTTTCTTCCCACACTGATGATGCAATCGACTACAGACCATGCAATTCATTGCACTGAACATATTACACAGACATATTACCCCCTCCCCCGTGGTTATCCAACCACCCCACTATTTACAACCTAACATACTACAAACAATGGATGTTACCTAATCTAATGTCACACAGCAATGATCAAAACATTAATTTATGTAATTGTCCTAATGCTTCAGTTACATAACAATATGTGTTCCTCCCTTAAGTCAATGTGACCTGACCTGAGATAAGATAAGATAAGATTTCGTTCGGATTTTTAACCCCGGAGGGTTAGCCACCCAGGATAACCCAAGAAAGTCAGTGCGTCATCGAGGACTGTCTAACTTATTTCCATTGGGGTCCTTAATCTTGTCCCCCAGGATGCGACCCACACCAGTCGACTAACACCCAGGTACCTATTTGCTGCTAGGTGAGCAGGACAACAGGTGTAAGGAAACGTGTCGGAATGTTTCCACCCGCCGGGAATCGAACCCGGGCCCTCCGTGTGTGAAGCGGGAGCTTTAGCCACCAGGCCACCGGGCCACCCACCTGACTAGGTTGGGTGCATTGGCTTAAGCCGGTAGGAGACTTGGACCTGCCTCACATGGGCCAGTAGGCCTTCTGCAGTGTTCCTTCGTTCTTATGTTCTTATACAAAATTACTACAAAGCCATAGGTATAAACTTAGTCTCAAAAACCCAACACATGTAAGCTTCTACACATTTAAACATGCAATTCCAAACGTTAAAAAACAATAACACAGCTTCAACTATGACATTCAAGCTCTATACAGCTTATATGGACATAACAGTGCTATTGACAACAGTACAGTACAACATAAAATATAACCATGACATAAGTAACACAAAGATTGTGCCTAGCGCACACCTAACCACAAAAACCTATAAATAACACCACTGTTGCCCAACTTTATTTACACCATATGACGTACAACACTGAAGCCCGCGCTCCAACTACAACACTGAAGCCCACGGTCCAACTATAACACTGAAGCCCGCGCTCCAACTACAACACTGAAGCCCGCGCTCCAACTACAACACTGAAGACCGCGGTCCAACTACAACACTGAAGCCCGCGCTCCAACTACAACACTGAAGCCCGCGCTCCAACTACAACACTGAAGCCCGCGCTCCAACTACAACATTGAAGCCCGCGCTCCAACTACAACACTGAAGCCCGCGCTCCAACTACAACACTGAAGCCCGCGCTCCAACTACAACACTGAAGCCCGCGCTCCAACTACAACACTGAAGCCCGCGCTCCAACTACAACACTGAAGCCCGCGCTCCAACTACAACACTGAAGCCCACGGTCCAACTATAACACTGAAGCCCGCGCTCCAACTACAACACTGAAGCCCGCGCTCCAACTACAACACTGAAGCCCGCAATCCAACTACAACACTGAAGCCCGCGCTCCAACTACAACACTGAAGCCCGCGCTCCAACTACAACACTGAAGCCCGCGCTCCAACTACAACACTGAAGCCCGCGCTCCAACTACAACGCTGAAGCCCGCGCCCCATCTACAACACTGAAGCCCGCGCTCCAACTACAACACTGAAGCCCGCGCTCCAACTACAACACTGAAGCCCGCGCTCCAACTACAACACTGAAGCCCGCGCTCCAACTACAACACTGAAGCCCGCGCTCCAACTACAACACTGAAGCCCACGGTCCAACTACAACACTGAAGCCCGCGCTCCAACTACAACACTGAAGCCCGCGCTCCAACTACAACACTGAAGCCCGCGGTCTAACTACAACACTCAGAAGGTCCGGATTCGGACCACGGGCCGCTAATTCAGTAGCCCTGGCGTAGCTAGTCTATATGGAAGATGAGGCTGGTTTGACGGAGGTGTGACTAGTTAACGTGGGAAGTGTAGCTGGTGTGTGGATATTGGGAGTATATGATGGGAGGTGAAGCGAGTTTTCACACTGGTGCCTCTCGACATACACTAATATTACAAATTCATTCACAACTTGTACACAAATTACAATTTTGTAAATACTTAGAGGGAGACAAAAACAGATGGTGATAACCTTCATAATACACCGTACGGAAAATCAAGTTTTTACAAATGTCGTGTAAATTGTTGACTTTGTCTTTCTCGACTACACATGCATTTTGTTTTTTATTGTGAAAACTAAAAGAACGATTATATCGTGTTGGTATCTCACCAACACCAGTCAAGTGGTTAAGGAACTCTATATTTAGGAGAAGTATATGTCTTGTGGCTGCATGTATCCTTGACTGGTAGAGTGACTGATGCAATCTTCATGTCCCTCGTGTAGTCAATAATAACCTTTAAACCAAATAAACCCACCAACACATTAAGGAACTCCTAGTTAATAAAACAAAGTCAGTCCTAACTGAAACTATCGTGTGCCTGCAACTAATATATAAGAAAATGTGAAAAACACTTTACCCATGTCCTTGTGGAACACAAACTGCAGGTGAATAATCTCTTAATTCTTTTATCGTTGAAAACACGTCGTGATCGGGCACAAACTAACGTTTATTGAAGAGAAACTAAGTTCCTTTATCTCACAAGTGACTATTGCTAGCGCTGAGGGAGAAATGTAGTGGGTTTTAACACGTTGAAGGCTCGGGAAGGAGTGAGCTGGTGGCCATATCTACCAGTATTTATAACATAGGTTGCCAAACAACTTTTAAAAATCATACTCTGGCCACCGTGAATTATAAAGTCAGGGGATTAAGACACTAAATGGAAACGCAGGACATACACCCTGATGGGTGTATTTCTCTCAGAGTATATATACTGAGTTTACCTTAATTCCTTTTTAGGTATTAAAGTATTCTTGCCCGGTGGTGAAAAGGTTACCAAGCAGCCTTCATGACCCTCGTGTGGTCGATAGGCATTAAACCCCATTAACCAAATGGAAATTCCTTGCATGGGGGAAAAAACTACCTTGTACAGAACCAATTCGTGAAATACATCACTGTTGTTAAAAATCCAGTACCTCTGGAGGAAAAACGGTATTGTGGGAAATTATGGGGATGAGGCTCACAGGTACATTCCTGAAATATTTCGTCCACATAATTGGGGGGGGGGCACAACTAAACAAGAATTTATTGTACTTACCAATGTTAGTTGTACCTCAGAGTTAGGTGACACTTTAGACACTAGGCTGCACCATGCCTCTCCTCCGACACACACACACACACACACACACACACACACACACACACACACACACACACACACACACACACACACACACACACGCACACGCACACGCACACGCACACACACACACACACACACACACACGAGCCAGAAACGAGTATGCACAGATAAGGAGGGAGGCCCAGCGACAGTATGAAAACGACATAGCATCGAAAGTCAAATCTGACCCGAAACTGCTGTATAGCCACATTAGGAGGAAGACAACAGTCAAGGACCAGGTGATAAGGCTGAGGAAAGAAGGTGGAGAACTCACAAGAAACGATCAAGAGATATGTGAGGAGCTCAACACGAGATTTAAGGAAGTATTTACAGTAGAGACAGGAAGGACTCTGGGGGGACAGATCAGATGGGGACACCAGCGAGGAATACACCAACAAGTGTTGGACGACATACATACAGATGAAGAGGTGAAGAAACTGCTAAGGGACATCGATACCTCAAAGGCAATGGGACCGGACAACATCTCCCCGTGGGTCCTTAGAGAGGGAGCAGATATGTTGTGCGTGCCGCTTACCACAATCTTCAACACGTCCCTGGAAACTGGGCAACTACCTGAGGTATGGAAGACGGCAAATGTAGTTCCCATTTTTAAAAAAGGAGACAGAAAAGAGGCACTAAACTATAGACCTGTGTCATTGACGTGTATAGTATGCAAAGTTATGGAGAAGATTATCAGGAGGAGAGTGGTGGAGCACCTGGAACGGAACAAGAGTATAAATGCCAACCAGCACGGATTCATGGAAGGCAAATCCTGTGTCACAAACCTTCTAGAGTTTTATGATAAAATAACAGAAGTAAGACACGAGAGAGAGAGGGGTGGGTTGATTGCATCTTCTTGGACTGCAAGAAGGCCTTTGACACAGTTCCTCACAAGAGATTAGTGCAGAAGCTAGAGCATCAGGCGCATATAACAGGAAGGGCCCTGCAATGGATCAGAGAATACCTGACAGGGAGGCAACAACGAGTCATGGTACGTAATGATGTATCACAGTGGGCACCTGTGACGAGCGGGGTCCCACAGGGGTCGGTCCTAGGACCAGTGCTTTTTTTGGTATATGTGAACGACATGATGGAAGGGTTAGACTCAGAAGTGTCCCTGTTTGCAGATGATGTGAAGTTAATGAGGAGAATTAAATCTGATGAGGACCAGGCAGGACTTCAAAGAGACCTGGACAGACTGGACACCTGGTCCAGCAAATGGCTTCTCGAATTTAATCCTGCCAAATGCAAAGTCATGAAGATAGGGGAAGGGCACAGAAGACCACAGACAGAATATAGGCTAGGTGGCCAAAGACTGCAAACCTCACTCAAGGAGAAAGATCTTGGGGTGAGTATAACACCGAGCATGTCTCCGGAAACACACATCAATCAGATAACTGCTGCAGCATATGGGCGCCTGGCAAACCTGAGAACAGCATTCCGATACCTTAGTAAGGAATCGTTCAAGACACTGTACACCGTGTATGTCAGGCCCATGCTGGAGTATGCAGCACCTGTTTGGAACCCGCACTTGATAAAGCACGTCAAGAAACTAGAGAAAGTACAAAGGTTTGCGACAAGGTTAGTTCCAGAGCTAAGGGGAATGTCTTATGAAGAAAGATTAAGGGAAATCGGCCTGACGACACTGAAGGACAGGAGGGTCAGGGGAGACATGATAACGACATATAAAATACTGCGTGGAATAGACAAGGTGGACAAAGACAGGATGTTCCAGGGAGGGGACACAGAAACAAGAGGCCACAATTCGAAGTTGAAGACACAAATGAGTCAAGAGAGATATTAGGAAGTATTTCTTCAGTCATAGAGTTGTAAGGCAGTGGAATAGCCTAGAAAATGACGTAGTGGAGGCAGGAACCATACACAGTTTTAAGACGAGGTTTGATAAAGCTCATGGAGCGGGGAGAGAGAGGGCCCAGTAGCAACCGGTGAAGAGGCGGGGCCAGGAGCTAAGACTCGACCCCTGCAACCACAAATAGGTGAGTACACACACACACACACACACACACACACACACTCTTTCCCACCCACAAAGAAAGTCAGGCCTATCAATTATTACAACATAAAAATTAATGCCAATAATGTTGGTAAATTACAAGATACTGAGTGGAGTGTATGATGATTTGTGACTTGAAAGGAGACGGGGGGAGGGGGGAAGGAAGTATTGAGAACACAGTATTTTTTTCTAAAAATATATGCACTCATCATTTAATTACAGGATCACAATTATTATTTGTGGAACACACCCTAACACTACCCTAACCTACATTATGGGTAAACGTCACTTAGCTAAGGTGTGCTGCTGGGAAGAATCGGAGTACTCTATTTTTCCATCCTTGTTGCAGAATTGTAAGGGTTTTCCACACTATTTATCCCAATTCTTCAGCGGGGATCGTGTCAGCAATTTCTAAATTACGGACTGAGGCCAATATACACCAATTTGACCTCGAAGACACTTGATTACATACACAAAATGTCACAACTAGTGCTCCCAGGTTTTTCCAATATGGCGTCCTCCTCCCTGCATCACTCTGCGGCCGCTGCACACCCTTCTTCTTGACGAGTCAAATCAGTCACATTATAATACACAATTATTATATTCATATTTACACTTGCTGAATTTAGGAAAATTATAAAAAAAATTCCACAGGTATCTTGATATTAATATATTCACAGGGAAGCGCTAAACCCATAAGAGATATACAGCACTTGGAGAATGGGAGGTAATCAGATCTGATCCAGGTCACTGGAGGAAGCTCCACTTCCTTGGATCAAGAGCCCTTTACCCAGCCTCAAGACATTGTGTCCTTTGGATGGCCTTGCTTCATAAGCAATGTTCATTAAGTTTATTTAGGTACAGGTACACATAAGTATAATTATCATACAAAGTTTAACACGTGTAAATTATCTAGGGTAACCGCAAAAAAAGTTACTTAGTATATATGTGTGTTAAATACCAAATGGACGAATATTTTGAAAACTAAAAGTTAGGATTTCAATCTCGGGAAGGCCTAGCGCACTCGGCACACTGTAGTCCGGGGGTCGATCCCTGGTACAGCTGAAAACATTAGGACTTGTTTCCAGAATACCTGCTATCCAGTGTTCACCCATCAGTAAAATGGGTATCTGGGTGTTAGTCGACTGGTGTGGGACAAAATTGACCTAATTAGCCGGAAATGCTTTACATTATTTTTATTATGGAAGACCGCTAGGATTATACAGCGCATCTGGGGGGAGGGGGATGTGGAAGGTATTCGGGCTCAATTCAGGGAACCGGAGCACAGATCCAATTCCCTAGATCAAGAGCCCCCTCACCAGCGTCAAGGAGCCTCCCCTGAGGGGGAATGCTCTACATAACAAGGGGCTTTCTATATAGTAGTATGTCGTTGATGTCAGCTAGGCCTGTATACCTTGTACATGTACTTGTAGTAAATAAAGATATTATTATTATTATTATTAAAAGAAATCGTCTTTGAAAACATGATTTTCAGTATGAATGTGGAACTTCTTAAACTGTCGTGCTTTCGTGGTCACTGTTTAATATACTGCAGTAAAAAATATCCATTAATTGGACAAAATATTTGCATCTGGGAACCTTTGCATCTTTAGCCCCAGACCAGGTGACCGCGTCACTGCTGGCAACCAGTGACAACAGTAGTTTAATATGTTTATTATGCACCCCATACCCATCCTGTGGGCGGTAGTCAAAAAATTACAGAGGTACATAATGGGTCCAGGGACAACACAGAAGAAAAAGTTGAGAGTAGCGCCATCTCTGAGTAGACAGCGACGATCACCAGAGTAGCAAACTAATAACCTTAGGCTGTGTCAGCCTTCATTTCTTCCTAAACTCCTAAACCTTTTCAGTCATGGTCAACAACAAGGCTGTGAGGAAACTGAATGAGTGTAAAGAGAGCGAGAGAGAGAGGATTGTTTCTGCTCAGCTAATTTTTGTAGCTATGTGAGTATTATACATATACGGTTGTGAAATGGATGGATGTAGAGGTTGTGAAGTGGATGGATGTAGAGGTTGTGAAATGGGTGGATGTAGAGGTTGTGAAATGGATGAAGGTATGGTAAAGTCCAGGGTCATAAATTGTGGAAAATTGCATTTACTTGGATGTATCATTATATACATAACAGTAAATGAACATAGATAATTATTATTTATCAGTTAGACAAGTAGGAATTTGGGACACCTAGGTCGCAAAAAATGTCCCCCTTCGATACCAACCACTGTCATATCCACAAGTTGCTCTGGACCTATTAATTAAATGAAATATGCATCACCAGGAATGCTGGTAAATATATAAATTTGTGGACTGTATATTAAAATTAAAAAGATTATAGTATATACACACATTTATATAACAAAGAGAATATCTTAATCATAACACTCACCAATTTGACTGGAGATTAATGTGTCATGTACAGGACCCCCCCCCCCTTTTGCCTACATTTATGAAAAATTTACTGGCCAGAATTTAAACATAAATTAGACAGCTTGTCTGAGGTTCCTGGAGTTGCCCTGTCCTGTCGCCTGATACTCAAATTATGCAGGAATGCACATCCAACAATTTAGGCTCCTATTTGAGAGGTGTCAGCCCAAATTTAACCTCTAGAGCACGAAAAGTTCTTCCCATTACTAATGTCTGTTACTCAATTGAAAAACAAAAATGGCGACTCCCCTTTTTAAAAATACACTTTTATTAAATACAATATATGGCATCCATTTACCTATAAATTACCGTATTTCCGGAAAATATACAGTATTTTCCACATAAATGCTTTATTTTTTTTGTCAAGTTAGATTCATTTTGTATATAACGCAGGGTATTATGTATAACAATAAGTGTCTAGTGTACTTTAATCCCTGTTTTCGGATACAAAGTATTATAGCTATAATGTACTATGTAGCTTTTGATTCCCGTGTAGTCGATACAACGCCAAGCAAAATACTTTGCGGGAGGAAAAAAAAACAAACACAGTAATAAGCAAAATATTTTGTAGTGCCGTAGCTACTGCAACCATAGTTATGTTAGTTGATCCACCTGAGCTGCTAGTTTGTGCATCCCATGATCATCCTGCGACCGGTTGAACATAAAAGTCCCCTCACGGAAGGTTCCTTGATGTTGGTGAGGGGCTCTTGATTTAGGGAATTGGATCTGTGCTCCAGTTCCCCGAATTAATCCTGAATGCCTTCCACATCTCCCCCGGCGCTGTATAACCCTACGGGTTTAGCGCTTTCCCTTGATTATAATGAACAAAAAAGTCACAATGGGTCTTTGTTAGACCCCACTGAGCATTGTTACATCACTAGAAAGAAATATTAGCCATTTCATATTTTACGGTTACTTCATATAGTTTACATAATGCAGTATAGAATAAATCTCAGAAAAATATTTTATTAACATTAAAAAACAATGGTCATAATTGAATCGCAATTTCCTCTATAAAAACCATTCATTCATTTAATCGATGCAAAATGTGGATACAACCTCAAGATTTTAGTTATCCTATCAATAACAATGAGAGTTTGCCACATACTGTTAGGTTCACATGGGGTGTGTCTGAAAGGTTCGTTGTTTGGACACTAACATTTAATGCTTCACTACATGACCCCGTCTCTGTCCCCAAACTGTACATTTTGTCATTGACATTCTCCATACAGTATTATCAGAGATGTTATTGCCAGACTAAGACTAGGCTATATGTCTCTCTGGCAGTTTGGTTTGTGTGGGTGTCAATAACAAAATGCAAAGTGCCAGGACATACAGGCCCATACACGAGTACTATATCTTAGTGTCCAAACATCCAGCCTTTCCGAAACATCTTTATGCAAACCTTATAAGCTATGGCAAAACACTCTTCTTAATATGATGAATGAAATCTTGTCTACTCAAGTTTTGCATCTACTAGATGAATCATTTTTGAAGTCTGCAACCCTTTTTCAAGACTAATGTTTTAGTGATACGTAACTAATAAATAAGATATTAAATGTTTGAGACTAATTTCATATTTTATGTTCATTATCTATATGAAGACATTGTAAAACATGAAATGACTAATATATATTTTGTGTGACGTAACAATGCCCAGTGGAGTCTGATAAAAACCCATAGACCTTTGTGATCTTGTTTTCTGCGCTGCTGCTCACAGGATGAAACAGGTTCGCAATAAACTAGTTGTGCGTGCGTGCGCGCCCTCGTGTGTGGGCGCGTGCGCGCGCTCGTGTGGGTATATCGGTTTAGTTTATTTATTTGGACACGATACATAGTTGTACAAAGAAATAGTGATTGGGTGTACATACCAAAAGCCCCTTGTATGCAGATCATTATAGGCAGGCTTAAAAGTAACTTAAGATTACAGTAAACAAATTACAACATGAAGTACAAATGAGTATTTCAAATAAACATTATAGTAACAAATTTGTAGCATAACAATGCACCCCATACCCATGGTGTGGGAGGTAGTCTAAAGATTGCAAAGGTACATAATGGGTCCAGGGACTGGACCCCAAAGTTATGATAGCTGAACTAGTTACAAAGGTAATGAACTCCAGGTAGATCTGGTCACAATCATGGCAAGTTACAAAGGTAATGAACCATTTACACTCCTATACATGGTTACAGTCATGAACAAATTACAAAGTAATGAGCCACTGATATGTCCACACCCGGTCACAATTGTAATGAGTTATAAATACAAATATTAAGTGGATCATACACCCACACGAGCGCGCGCACACGAGGGCGCACACGCACACAAGCGTACACACACACACACACACACACACACACACACACACACACACACACACACACACACACACACACACACACACACACACACACACAAAAGTTTACCTGGAGAGGGTTTCGGGGTTCAACGCCCCCGCGGCCCGGTCTGAGACCAGGCCTCATGGTGGATCAGGGTCTGATCAACCAGGCTATTACTGCTGGCCGCACGCACGCTGACGTACGCTACGTTGATATTGTGTATATCAATACGTGTTGTGAAAGGCAAACCTCTAAATCATACAGTATGTCTGTGATAATCTTGGCTTTATAATTTCTGCAGAAAAGATCAAAGAAGTATTTAAGACAGTAAAAGTGGACCATCAAAAAAGTCTATGGCAGACCTATTAATTGTCCTGTAAATATCCATATACACTAATAGCTGTGAATAAAATTAACATCAATATAAGACAGACTTGAAGTTTTCAGAACTGTTGTAGGGGTATAATCCCAAATATGGAGCAAATGTTAAAATTGCAAAAATAATGTACCAAGCATTACATAAGATCGTTGGTAGATTACCATGCACCAGTTTGTCCCGAAACACAATGAACCATTGAAAGACTAGAGAAAAAAAAACTCACGGTGAAGCCTTAAGAATTATCCTGGGCTGCCCTATAACCACAAGAATACTTAATATCAGGAACGAATTAGATATGCCTAGTGTTGCTGATAACATAAGTGAAATCAGTATCATGATAGAACTGAAGCTGCTTCCTGGTGATGAAAACTGTTCCGAACAGAATTACTAGAGCATATAATATCATGGGACAAGGGAATCCAAATGGATTTTAAATAACAGCTACATACAAAAATTTTTGACTACGTGAACTGTATCATGGTAGGAAACAACAGTATTTCCTGCCACCCTGGCAGATGATAAGTTTTGATATCACTGTGCCCACCTAACCTGTCTATGGTGCATCCAACAAAATAAGCAGACTCTTGGATGTCACTACTGCCCGGCTCCGGCTGGGTTACAAGTATCTTTGGCAGGTTAAATCACCACCACCAGATGTAGACCAAACGAAATGTAAACTTTGCCAGATGGATTATTGTCACACCCTGCGTCATTATGTACTGGAGTGCGATAAAATTAATGAATTTAGAAACAACTCACTCAGAAGTGTTCAAGAAATGGCTAAGTATTTTATCCACAGTGGTATATTACAGACCATTCTGGAGAAATACCCTGACTTTGCTAGCTGTAAATAAAGCATTACCACATGTGTGTGTGTTTGTGTGTTTGTGTGTGTGAGTGTGTGTGTGTGTGTGTGTGTGAGTATGTGTGTGTGAGTATGTGTGCGTGTGTATGAGTTGTGTGTGTGATGTGTTGATTGGTTGATGTGTGATTGTGTGTGTGTTGTGTGTGTGTGTGTGTGTGTGTGTGTGTGTGTGTGTGTGTGAGAGAGAGAGAGAGACTCAGCAATCAACATTTGCACCAATAACTCGCTACAGTTGTGACCGGGTGTGGAAGTGTGAATAGCTCATTACTCTAAAATTTGTTCATGATTGCAGCCATGTATACACGTAAGTAACCATTCTTACAGTATTCATTACCTTTGCAACTTGTGAGTTCATTACCTTGTACCTAGTTCAGCCATCAAAACTTTGGAGCCCAGTCCCTGGACCCACTGTGTACCTCTGTAATCTGTAAATACCTTTGTAACTTGTCATGATTGTGACTAGACCTACCTGGAGTTCATTACCTTTGTAAATTGTGAGTTCATTACCTTTGTAAATTGTGAATTCATTACCTCTGTAACTTGCTCAGCTATCAAAACTTTGAGGCCCAGTCCCTGGACCCATTATGTACCTCTGTAATCTTTTGACTACCGCCCACAGGATGGGTATGGGGTGCATAATAAACATATTAAACTAACACCTAACCTCCCAAAGAAACTAATTGAGCAGTCCTCAACTTCGATTACTTCCAAAAATCAGTACTCTGGAAAATCAGTCAATATCTGTCTGTCTCTCTCTCTCTCAATTTTTTGAGTTATCCTACGTTCTCTACACATATTCTACTATGTATGATAATATATGTAATTATATTTCTGTATACCTGAATAAACTTACACACACGACCTTAGATCAAAGAAAACTATCACAGACTATGCTTATAGCTCTTAAGGGAGCCATCAGCGTACATAATCTTTGTAATATTTTTTTTTTCTGCAGCTCGTGGATTTGTTAGAGCACTGATTTTAGAAATGTCGAAGACTGTATTCTATTTATTAAAAAAAAAAAGTTCCCCATCAACTTCTTGCAATTAAGAAAACAGAGAGGGGGGGCTTCAGTACCATGGGGGTTAGGATTTATATAGGGAAGATAAGATTTGCTGGGATTTTTAACCCGGGAGAAGGTTAGCCGCCCAGTGTAACCCAAGAAAGTCAGTGCGTTATAGAGGACTGTCTTAGTCCCATTGGTGGTCCTTCAATCTCGTCTCCCATAATGCGACCCACACCAAGCGACTAATATTCAAGTATTTATTGCGAGGTGAGCAGGGACATTAAGTGCATACATGTGAGGAGACATCCCCAAGGTTACCATGCCGGGGATTAAACCATGGGCTGTGTGGGGGGGAGGGTGCTTGGGTGCGTTGCAGACCAAGCCACGGGACATTGCGAACTGTTCTAAACATATTAACTTGTATGCTCCTACTAAGAATTCGGTATAACTGCATTTCGTACTCTGTGCTTGTGTTCACTTGTCTGGGCTTCTCATTTAGAGAAATGGTTTCTTCATTTATTTTGCCAACTCTTCAAGCTGTTTTAAATTTGTCACCAAACAAGATGGGTCCTACACAGATGACAGCAAGGAAATGAGTGAGCTACTCAAGTCCCAATATGACTCAGTTTTTAGCAAGCCGCTAACCAGACTGAGAGTCGAAGATCAAAATGATTTTTTTATGAGAGCCACAAAATTTGGTTAACACAAGCCTATCCGATGTTATCCTGACGCCAAATGACTTCGAACAGGCGATAAATGACATGCCCATGCACTCTGGCCCAGGGCCAGACTCATGGAACTCCGTGTTCATCAAGAACTGCAAGAAGCCCCTATCACGAGCCTTTTCCATCCTATGGAGAGGGAGCATGGACACGGGGGTCGTCCCACAGTTACTAAAAACAACAGACATAGCCCCACTCCACAAAGGGGGCAGTAAAGCAACAGCAAAGAACTACAGACCGATAGCACTAACATCCCATATCATAAAAAATCTTTGAAAGGGTCCTAAGAAGCAAGATCACCACCCATCTAGAAACCCATCAGTTACACAACCCAGGGCAACATGGGTTTAGAACAGGTCGCTCCTGTCTGTCTCAACTATTGGATCACTACGACAAGGTCCTAAATGCACTAGAAGACAAAAAGAATGCAGATGTAATATATACAGACTTTGCAAAAGCCTTCGACAAGTGTGACCATGGCGTAATAGCGCACAAAATGCGTGCTAAAGGAATAACGAAAAGTCGGTCGATGGATCTATAATTTCCTCACTAACAACACAGAGTAGTCGTCAACAGAGTAAAGTCCAAGGCAGCTACGGTGAAAAGCTCTGTTCCACAAGGCACAGTACTCGCTCCCATCTTGTTCCTCATCCTCATATCCGACATAGACAAGGATGTCAGCCACAGCACCGTGTCTTCCTTTGCAGATGACACCCTAATCTGCATGACAGTGTCTTCCATTGCAGACACTGCAAGGCTCCAGGCGGACATCAACCAAATCTTTCAGTGGGCTGCAGAAAACAATATGAAGTTCAACGATGAGAAATTTCAATTACTCAGATATGGTAAACACGAGGAAATTAAATCTTCATCAGAGTACAAAACAAATTCTGGCCACAAAATAGAGCGAAACACCAAAGTCAAAGACCTGGGAGTGATCATGTCGGAGGATCTCACCTTCAAGGACCATAACATTGTATCAATCGCATCTGCTAGAAAAATGGCAGGATGGATAATGAGAACCTTCAAAACTAGGGAGGCCAAGCCCATGATGACACTCTTCAGGTCACTTGTTCTATCTAGGCTGGAATATTGCTGCACACTAACAGCACCTTTCAAGGCAGGTGAAATTGCTGACCTAGAAAATGTACAGAGAACCTTCACGGCGCGCATAACGGAGATAAAACACCTCAATTACTGGGAGCACTTGAGGTTCCTGAACCTGTATTCCCTGGAACGCAGGCGGGAGAGATACATGATTTTATACACCTGGAAAATCCTAGAGGGACTAGTACCGAACTTGCACACGAAAATCACTCACTACGAAAGCAAAAGACTTGGCAGACGATGCAACATCCCCCCAATGAAAAGCAGGGGTGTCACTAGTGCGTTAAGAGACAATACAATAAGTGTCATTGGCCCGAGACTGTTCAACTGCCTCCCAGCATACATGAGGGGGGATTACCAACAGACCCCTGGCAGTCTTCAAGCTGGCACTGGACAAGCACCTAAAGTCGGTTCCTGACCAGCCGGGCTGTGGCTCGTACGTTGGTTTGCGTGCAGCCAGCAGCAACAGCCTGGTTGATCCGACTCTGATCCACCAGGAGGCCTGGTCACAGAGCGGGCCGCTGGGCCGTTGACCCCCGGAACTCTCTCCAGGTAAACTCCAGGTAAATGCTGCTGCTCTTCTCAAGAGTCCCTCTCCTGACCTGTGCTAAATTACCTTTATAAGGTTTAGCATTGTGTTGTGAATAATACAGTATATAAACCTATTCATACGATATCTTACCTGGAATAACTGTTTTTGATTATCAGTCTAATTCTCATTCACCAAGGGATTGTCAGGGTGTGGAGCCCAGGGCAGGTACTGGTGATGCTGCTCTGAGTACTTTGGATGATGCTCTGGATACTTTGGAGAGGGATACCACAGTCTTAATACCTCCACTGAACACTTGTATGGCTAATGGTAAGTTTTTTTTTATTGGTTTTTATATTGTTTTAATTTGGATTAATACGTATATGTATAGAATTATATTAATAACAATTTCACCTTGCGATTTACCACTTACCTGTTTAATAAAACAACTTGACCTCAGTAAGTTTAATATAACCAAAGAATTTGCTTGCATTAATAATACAAATTACTTTGTGATATTAACACAAAACATGAACAGATGCTGTATATTTTGAAGCTGTATTAATGTTGGTAGAATTACCGACAATATATTAGGTAAAAAGGACACAAGTGCAACTAATGTGATATTTTGTGGCAACGTTTTGCGCTCCAGGAGCGACAAAAAGCTCCTGGAGAGCGAAGCGTTGCCACAGTAAAATGTCGCATTACTTGCACTTGTCTATTTTACCCAACATATTTTAGAGCTAAACAAGGTCACCTACCAACACTCTAGAAAAAAAACAGAAATATAAAGTTATACTTTCTTATCTCGGGCGTATGTTGACTCTCAGCCAAGATGAATGTCACTCTCCACTAAAGTAGACACTCGGACAAAATCTTGAAGGTAATCTGTTTGCCAAACAAATCGGTTCCTTTTTAATTGGCTTATTTGTAGTAAAACATTTTATAGGTTTGTATTAACCGTATAATAAAGAAAATAGCATTTGTAAATTTGCATGAAGCATTAAATAATATAAGGAAAGTCGAACAATGAAGATTGGCCACAAAGAAAGCGGAAGAATATTATATAATATAATATATATATATATATATATATATATATATATATATATATATATATATATATATAAATAATAATATATATTATATATATATATATATTATATATATATATATATATATATATATATATTATATATATTATTAGATATAGAAGGGAATGTATGAAAGTATAGTAGTACCAACACTTATATGGATGTGAAGCTTGGGTGGTAAATGCAGCAGCGAGGAGAGGGTTGGAGGCAGTGGAGATGTCCTGTCTAAGGGCAATGTGTGGTGTAAATATTATGCAGAAAATTCGGAGTGTGGAAATTAGGAGAAGGTGTGGAGTTAATAGTCAGAGGGCAGAAGAGGGGTTGTTGAGGTGGTTTGGTCATTTAGAGAGAATGGATCAAAGTAGAATGACATGGAAAGCATATAAATCTATAGGGGAAGGAAGGAGGGGTAGGGGTCGTCCTCGAAAGGGTTGGAAAGAGGGGGTAAAGGAGGTTTTGTGGGCGAGGGGCTTGGATTTCCAGCAAGCGTGCATGAGCGTGTTAGGAGTGAATGGAGACGAATGATACTTGGGACCTGACGATCTGTTGGAGTGTGAGCAGGGTAATATTTAGTGAAGGGATTCAGGGAAACCGGTTATTTTCATATAGTCGGACTAGAGTCCTGGAAATGGGAAGTACAATGCCTGCACTTTAAAGGAGGGGTTTGGGATATTGGCAGTTTGGAGGGATATGTTGTGTATCTTTATACGTTTATGCTTCTAAACTGTTGTATTCTGAGCACCTCTGCAAAAGCAGTGATAATGTGTGAGTGTGGTGAAAGTGTTGAATGATGAAAGTATCTTCTTTTTGGGGATTTTCTTTCTTTTTTGGGTCACCCTGCCTCGGTGGGAGACGGCCGACTTTTTGAAAAAAAAATGTGTATATATATATTATATAATATATATATTTATATATATATATATATATATATATATATATATTATATATATATATATATAAATTTATTTATTATGATCCCCATAGCTTAGCTCTTCCTATGAGCATAACAGTTAAGATCCCCTGGAGTTGACCTGGAGAGAGTTCCGAGGGTCAACGCCCGCCTTGCCTGGTCTGTGGCCAGGCATCATGGTGGATCAGGGCCTGATCAACTAGACTGTTACTGCCTGCTGCATGCAAGCCAACGTACGAACCACAGCCCGGCTGGTTAGGTACCGACTTTAGGTGCATGTCCGGTGCCTGCTTGAAGACAGATAGGGGTCTATTGGTAATCCCCCTTATGTATGCTGGAAGGCAGTTGAACAGTCTTGGGCCCCTGACACTTATTGTGTTGTCTCTTAACGTGCTAGTGGCACCCCTGCTTTTCATTGGGGGATGTTGCATCGTCTGCTGAGTCTTTTGCTTTCGTTGTGAGTGATTTTAGTGTGCAAGTTCGGTACTAGTCCCTCTAGGACTAGTACCATTTTCACCTGCCTTGAAAGATGCTGTTAGTGTGCAGCAATATTCCAGCCTAGATAGAACAAGTGACCTGAAGAGTGTCATCATGGGCTTTGCATCCCTAGTTTTGAAGGCTCTCATTATCCATCCTGTCATTTTTCTAGCAGATGCGATTGATACAATGTTACGGTCGTTGAAGGTGAGATACTCCGACATGATCACTCCCAGGTCTTTGACGTTAGTTTTTCGCTCTATTGTGTGGTTGGAATTTATTTATACTCTGATGAAGTTTTAATTTCCTCACATTTACCATATCGGAATAATTGAAATTTCTCATCGTTGAACTTCATATTGTTTTCTGCAGCCCATTGAAAGATTTAGTAGATGTCTGCCTTGAGCCTTGCAGTGTCTTCAATGGAAGATACTGTCATGCAGATTCAGGTGTCATCTGCAAAGGAAGACACGGCACTGTGGCTTATATTCCTGTCTGTCTGATATGAGGATGAGGAACAAGATGGGAGCGAGTACTGTGCCTTGCAGAACAGAGCTTTTCACCGTAGCTGCCTCAAACCTTACTCTGTTGACTACTACTCTTTGTGTTCTATTTGTCAGGAAATTATACATCCATCTGCCAACTTTTCCTGTTATTCCTTTGGCACGCATTTTGTGCACTATTACGCCATGGTCACACTTGCTGAAGTCTTTTGCAAAGTCTGTGTATATTACATCTGCATTCTTTTTGTCTTCTAGTGCATCCAGGACCTTGTCGTAGTAATCCTGTAGTTGGGACAGACAGGAACGACCTGCTCTAAACCCATCCTGCCCTGGGTTGTGTAACCGATGGGTATCTAGATGGGTGGCGATCTTGCTTCTTAGAACCCTTTCAAAGATTTTTATATGTGATGTTAGCACTCTCGGTCTGTAGTTCTTTGCTATTGCTTTACTGCCCCCTTTGTGGAGTGGGGCTATGTCTGTTGTTTTTAGTAACTGTGGGACGACCCTAGTGTCCATGCTTCCTCTCCATAGGATGTTAAAAGCACGTGATAGGAGGCAAAGGTTCTAAATATTAAAGTATAAATGCATGCAAGGCAATAGTGAATGATAGTGAAAGTTTATTTTTTGGGTCACCCTACCTCGGTTGGAGATTGCTGGTGTGTTAAAAAAAATGCACACCTTGCTTTAGCTGGATATTTGAGATTTTGTAAGATAAGTGAAGTCCTACCACTTTAGCACTTCCCCATAAATGTAATATGGCACATAATTAGCATTGTCTAGTAAAGGACTCGATGTAAAGAATTTGTGGCTTGAGTGTTAGCGATAAAGTTGATATGTTAACCAAGAATATAACTTTGGTAAATCTGTGTCTAGCATTAGGAATAATTTTAGGAGAGAAGTAAATAATGAAAATGATTGGTATAGGAATGCAGTTAGTCTCAGTAGATCTATAACCCACTATAACATGAACGTAGATAAGTAGGTTTATAGAGCAACTTGCAATGTGAACACAGACAGACTGATGTAGTGGCCAGGTTTAGGCTTGGTTACAAATACTACTACTGGCAGTTTGGGAGACATACAGATGATTATCACACTAAATGCAAGTTATGTGGTCAGGCATATGGTCACTCTTGAACATTGTGCATAATTGTCCACTTATTGAAGAATATAGATACAGTATAATAACCTATGTGACATGTCAAGATTTCTTATTAATGAAAATAAGATACCAGATATACTAAGGAAATTTCCTAAATTTGCTTATAACAGACAAGTGAGCTGTAGATATAAATCCATATGTACACCTGTTAATCCTTTTGGGGCCTAGTTCCTAGGCCTTTTGTGTATCCATATTCTCTTGCACTACCGTCCACAGGATGAATATGGGTGCACAATAAACTAGCTACTTCTGTCCCAAAAATCTAAATCACTATCATCTTTTAACTGAGGGACCTGGATTTGATCCTGGAGTGAGTAGGTACCTGGATATCAGCAGACTGTTGTGCATTGCATCCCAGGCAGTATTACTGTACCTTAAATAGGGCAGGACTTCTAAATGAGTTTATGTAGGATAACCGCTCTTGGACTTTAAATTCAACTTTGTAAAATAATTTGGAGGAACCCTTCCTTCCTTTGGTCACATCAGGCTGTTTCCCATTTCTCTGGTGTTTCACCCCTACAATACATGTTTATTACTTATTTGAAAATAATAATAATGATGTGATACTTTTATAATTAATAAAACAAATGAGCAGTAATAATAAGCAAAAATCGTAAACAATTTAAATTTTGTGTTCCTTGAACAGGTGTTGCTGTGGCAGAAGTCTCAGTGATGTCAGGGTGCCTTATGGATGGAAATCCAGGAAGTAAACTGCAACAGCCACCTTTACAGAAAGTGATGGACTCCTATCATATTTCAGCCTCTACTACTACCACTGTCCCCCTCCAGGCCTCTGTTCCTCCATTCACAGTCTCTACATCATCCCAGACCAATGTTCCTCCACCCACCACATCCATACCATCATTCTGGGTTTCGGTTGCCACCTCCAAATCTTTGCCCTCTGTCGTGGTACTGAGCAGCCCTGCTGTCCCAGTGACTAGTCTTGTCCAGAGCACCAGTGAACCTCTCTCTGAGTCCCCATCAAATTCAGATTTCTTTTCTGCCTTGTACCCTGCCCACCCTCCAGCCTACACCTCTGTCCCTGCCCATGGACATACCACTGAGCTGTCTTCCCTCTCTGATTCCAATCTTTCTCAGTCCTTCACTCAAGCTTCTAACCAAGCAGTAGATCACTCTTACGTGAAGGCTTCCAACCAAAACCTTACTCAACAAGTTGAACAAGACTGTGCACACTCCATTTCAGAGGCTCCTTTCCAAGGGTTTACCCAGCCTGGGGTTGGTAAGCTCTGTGATCAGCATGTGGTCCAGGCCCTTATGATTCCCTGTCAGGAGTCTTGTGTTAATACCACTCACAGGTATTTATTTGTCTTTTTTAAAAATGCAGTATTTTGGAAAAGGCCACTATGTGCAGATCAAACCTTCATTTGGTGAAGGTTTGCTCTAAAAGTTTTATCAAGTAAGAGTAATGCTATGTGACATTATGTACATAAAAAGTTGGTAAGGTGATGAGAAGAGGCTGTTATCTGTAGCTGTTGGGTATGTGCATTGCTTGCTTGATAATGGGTTTTACAATATTAGCAGGCGAGTCTTGCCATCCAATGCAGTGAACACTTTTTGTTGAGCTCCATAATCATGCACTTGGAGTTTTTATACATAAAAAACTTCATATTATAGTTCACTTTATTAGTGCTGTATGACCCTGGTAGGTTTAAGTAAGTAAGTAAGTAAGTTTATTCAGGTATACACAAATACAGTTACATAGAATTATCATACATAGCAGCATATGTGTAGAGAACCTAGGATAACCCAAAAAAGTCAGACAGAGTGACTTATTTCCATTGGGTTTAGCACTTCCTTTTGATTAGTATAATAATATAGTTCACTTTAATCCATAATTGAGTATTTCCTTGTTAGTGCTCATGTGATTTATAAATGTTCACTTATTGGGAATAAAGAAACCCACGAATAAATATAATTGATGTTAAAAATGAAAAGTGTGCTGAAGAGGAGTTCGGTTAAAGATACTTTGCAGCCTCTTTGCATGTTTTAATGTCTCCTCCAAGTGGGGTTTCTCCATTCTCATTGACTAATTTTCATATTACCAACATTGCACATTTATGTACTTTGTTTACAGCAACACATTTTGCAGGGAGTTGCTGGGAGATGGCAGGGTAAGTCAGGAGGCAGGAGTGAGAGAGGAAGATGTGATAGAGAGCCATGGTACCATTTGGGGCTGCTACAACTTCACCAAGAAGCAAATGACAATCCTCTCCTCCATGCTCCTTGTAGTCTTCTTCTCTTATGCCTCTCTCTCCATCATGGCCCCATTCTTCCCACATCAGGTTGGTAACTTAAATCTTGTGATTCATGTGACAGTGCATTGATAATGGCTCTTGCCTTTGCTAAATTCAATGGGACCCCGAATATCGGCTGTAATCCGTTCCAGAAGATCGGTTAAATTTGAAAAGGCCTAAATTCGAAGCAATACTTCCCACAAGAATTAATGTGAATACAATTAATCCATTCCAGACATTCAAAAATATTAAAAAAAAAATACATTATTTAAAGATTAATTATAGTTTTACATGCACAAAACAGTGAGAACTAAATAAAATAAAGGAACATTTAAATCACTGTTTACCTGGAGTTTACCTGGAGAGAGTTCCGGGGATCAACGCCCCCACGGCCCGGTCTATGACCAGGCCTCATGGTGGATCAGAGCCTGATCAACCAGGCTGTTACTGCTGGCTGCACGCAGTCCAACATCCGAGCCACAGCCCAGCTGGTTAGTTACCAATTTTAGGAGCTTGTCCAGTGCCTGCTTGAAGACAGCCAGGGGTCTATTGGTAATCCCCCTTATGTATGCTGGGAGGCAGTTGAACAGTCTTGGGCCCCTGACACTTATTGTGTTGTCTCTTAGCATGCTAGTGACACCCCTGCTTTTCATTGGGGGATGTTGCATCGTCTGCCGAGTCTTTTGCTTTCGTAGCGAGTGATTTTCGTTTGCAAGTTCGGTACTACTCCCTCTAGGATTTTCCAGGTGTATATAATCATGTATCTCTCCCGCCTGCATTCCAGGGAGTACAGGTTCAGGAACTTCAAGTGCTCTCTGTACATTTTCTAGGTCAGCAGTTTCACCTACCTTGAAAGGTGCTGTTAGTGTGCAGCAATATTCCAGCCTAGATAAAACAAGCGACCTGAAGAGTGTCATCATGGGCTTGGCATCCCTAGTTTTGAATGTTCTCATTATCCATCCTGTCATTTTTCTAGCAGATGCGATTGATACGATGTTATGGTCTTTGAAGGCGAGATACTCCGACATGATCTCTCCCAGGTCTTTGACGTTAGTTTTTCGCTCTATTTTGTGGCTGGAATTTGTTTTATACTCTGGTGTAGTTTTAATTTCCTCATGTTTACCATATCGGAGTAATTGAAATTTCTCATCGTTGAACTTCATATTGCTTTCTGCAGCCCATTGAATGATTTGGTTGATGTCTGCCTGGAGCCTTGCAGTGTCTGCAATGGAAGTCACTGTCATGCAGATTTGGGTGTCATCTGCAAAGGAAGACACGGTGCTGTGGCTGACATCCTTGTCTGTCAGATATGAGGATGAGAAACAAGAGAGTACTGTGCCTTTCGGAACAGAGCTTTTCACTGTAGCCGCCTCAGACTTTACTCTGTTGACTATTACTCTCTGTGTTCTGTTTGTGAGGAAATTATAGATCTATCTACCAACTTTTCCTGTTATTTCTTTACCACGCATTTTGTGCGCTATTACGCCATGGTCACACTTGTCGAAGGCTTTTGCAAAGTCTGTATATACTACATCTGCATTTTTTTGTCTTCTAATGCGTCTAGGACCTTGTCATAGTGATCCAGTTGTTGGGACAGACAGGAGCGACTTGCTCTAAACCCATGTTGCCCTGGGTTGTGTAATTGATGGGTATCTAGATGGGTGGTGATCTTGCTTCTTAGGACCCTTTCAAAGATTTTTATGATATGGGATCATAGTGCTATCAATCTGTGGTTCTTTGCAATTGCTTTACTGCTCTCTTTGTGGAGTGGGGCTATGTTTGTTGTTTTTAGTAACTGTGGGATAACCCCAGTGTCCATGCTCCCTCTCCATAGGATGTTAAAAGCACGTGATAGGGGCTTTTTGGAGTTCTTGATGAAAACCGAGTTCCACGAGTCTGGCCCTGGGGAAAAGTGCATGGGCATGTCATTTATCGCCTGTTCGAAGTCATTTGCCATCAGGATAACATCAGATAGGCTTGTGTTTACCAAATTCTGTGGCTCTCTCATAAAAAAATCATTTAGATCTTCAACTCCGTCTGGTTAGTGGCTTGCTAAAAACTGCTACATACCTTTATTGAAGACACTTGTCGGCTTGTGGAAGACAGGGAGGAGGAGAGAGGGACTGAGTATTGCTTGGAAGGGGAATCCCCCTCCATAAGGACTTCAGGTATAGAAGCCCTCTGGGGTTACTTCCCTCCCTCCATGCTACACTCCCTGCCTCTCTCCATACCTTCCATTGTTTGTGATCTCCTTTTTGTTAACATGTTTACCCATTTTGCCACATCAACTTCCTTGATTTGTTCTTTCTTTGCCAGGATACAAGTGATTGTTGATTTGTTTTTGCCATACATCCTGGCAAGCTTGAGAACACACACACCACTTGTATTTTTTCTACAATTTCTTTCTTCAATTCTATCATATTTCTCATTTTCTTTACCAAAGGGCTGGCACTAGGAACTTTCTTTGGGCCCATGGTGGCTTATTTCACAGTCCCACTTAATAAACAAGCACAGAAACCAATCGATTTTAAGGAAATATTTGGAAGAATGAATGGGCTATATGCTAATTCTGAGAGACACGGGGAGACTGACTCACCTACGCGTGGCGTCTCAGTGGGAGGCGGACTGACACGTCTAATACAGCTGATTTGTGAGGCACCGGCTGAAATAGAGCAAAACTTCGGCCCAAAAACCAGCCTAAATACAATTTGGCCAATAAGCGCAGCAATTGATATTCGGGGTTCCACTGTAGTAGCTTTTTCATATTGTCAGATTATAAAGATAAACTAGTTTTGGGAAATTAGTGTTTATAATCTGTCAAAGATATGTTTGAAACCATTGTGTAGCATACCTGATAATTTAATACTATAAACCTTAGAGACACTGACTCCTTAATTTTCAGTGCTTATTACAGTTTAACTAAATTGTGCATATAGTATATTGGGTGGGTATACAGTAGATTATTATGTACATTTGTACTTGCATTTTTTCCAGTAACATTATTCTGATTTAAGATACTGATAACCCCCTATTATTAGTCTATCAAGGATTCCCCCCCCCCCAAAAAAAAAAAAAGCCTTCCACCATTTTGGCAGCCTGTCATCCTATAATTTTTGGATTACATATGCTGCTATATATGGTAATTTGTGTAACTGTATTTGTGTATGTTTATTTATTTTACCTGTACCTGAATAAACTTAGTTATGATGTAAATCATTTAGCCCACCTATTTTATGTAAAAATGAAAGTATTATTTCTTAGCCAAGGTTATCTTAACTAGCTAGTCAAAGATTAGGTTTGGTTGTGTCAGCCTGTGATTCTACTATGAACCAAGAGCTTCAGCAGTGTCAGTGGACTCAGGTTGAGACTTTGAATGGAATTAGCTCTTGAATGTCTTTGATTTCTGTTGACAGACTTGGTTTAATTCATTGCAGATGCCTGTCTTAGGATACATGATACATTTATATTTACTCTACCAGTAATGTAGGAACTGAAATTAATTAATCAGTAGCTTAAAAACCTCAGACTTGTCTTAGCATTAATGTGCTCTCTTGTGGTTCAGGTTCAAAAGATGGGCATGAGCAGTACTCTGGATGGCATCATATTCAGTATGTACTCCCTGGCATTGGTCATCACCTCCCCCATCATTGGAAAATTTGTGAGTTCTGATTTTCCTATTCTCGTGATCCTCGCATTTCATGGTTTTTCATGGCCGTGTTTCATAGTTTCCCATGCCATGCAATGATTATTAAATAACATCACTACTTCTTCAGCTTCATTAGGGTAGACTCATTATTTTCCATAACTTGCAGTGATTACCAGTTTTAGTAAAATCATTTTTAATTTAGTTTTGGTAATTTCTCTTAATTACTAATACTGCAATATAAAAGTTCCTGTCTTAAAAAAATATCTACTTCATGTTAATGTATATGAACTTGAATAAACTAATGACTTCTGGTCTTTGAGGCTCTTCATAATTATTTTTTTTTTTTTTTTAACACTGACCATCTCCCACTGAGGCAGGGTGACCGACCCCAAAAAAAACTTTAATAAAGTTTTCCTTTTAACATTTAGTAATTTATACACAAGGGGTTACTAGTCCCCTCGCTCCCAGCATTTATTTATTTTATTAGCAATAATGATTATCTTCTACAATAACTAGTTACCACTAATGAATTTGCGGACTGCATACATCGGGGGAATCTTCCTTAATGGCTTTTCTGATATCTGCTTTGGGTAAGTAAAAAAATTTAATTTTGGAAGCTCTTACAGTATTGCCAAAAGTAATGAATATTAAGACAGGCTTTCCCATTTTATGGGCACAACCATTATCAGGTGATGCATTACACATCACAAATTTTATTACTGTATTTTTAAACAATGGAGAAAATTAAGACTATTGTAGAATATCTTGCTTCTCTTAATTAGTAATTTTTAAACTACCAATTTCTACTATATCTAGTTTACTTATCACAACTTTACAAAACTGCAGTCCCTGTGCCTTTATGAACCTGCATCCCTGTGCCTGTGTAATCTGATATTATTCATGGGAAAGCACTAAGACTTAGCCTGGAAAATGAGAGAGAATCACTTTTAATTGAAGAAGGGAAGAGTAGCTTGAATTCTTTATAGAGAGCCCTTCACAGGTTTATACAGTCACTCCCTTCCCCCTCCCTTTAAAGAAATGTGCCTGTATAACATTTTTTCCTTCAAGGGAAATGCTTGGATACTAGTGATGGGCCTTGATTCAAGGAATTTGAGCTCCCTTGAATCAAACCTGAATAACTTTCGTTCACAGTTAATGCTATTAGTTCTTATATAAATCAGCCTTTTGAACATTTTTATGAGTTGTATTTCTTCTCAAGAGTACCAAGTGATATACTATGTCAAAAACTCTCGCACTCTCTAAACTTCATCATTCCCAACTCGCTGTATGACTCCTGTAGGTTTTGTGATTCTGTGAATGAAATGTTATCTCTATATTCAACTTACTGATGGAATCATATCAATTTTTTGGTTGATACTTGAGCTCCTGAATATAAGGCCAATACAAAATACCCGGAAACCATCAAAATTAACCTACGTATATCCACTGATATTCTGTTTCCTACAGAATCAGACACCAACTTTCCCCCTACCTCTATGGGTTCATGAAAGGTAAAAGTGTGCAGAACTGTATTTCCACCTTTCTCACTGCACACACCTCTACTAGTTTTACCACATTTCTTGATCTAAAATCTGCGTTTGATATCGCAAACAGAACCGTTATACTACATGACTAGCCAAAATGAATATGGGTGGTAGCTTACTATGCTGGATAATAGGATACCTGTCAAATAGAGTATCCTCTGTCCTCTACCAAGGCTTTAGAAGTGAGTCTAAAGAAATGTCCCTAGGTACACCGCAGTGAGGAGTTCTCAGTCCCATGCTATTTAATATTCTGATTAATGCTCTTCTAAATGCTCTACCTGCCTCGCCTAACATATAGCTATAAGCTATGCTGATGACATCATGATCCACACAACAGGGCATAAGAATTGAATGCCATTCTTAATGAAGTTCAAGCAATTTGTAATCGACTAGGCCTCATAACATCTTCTCTAAAACAAAGATATTAACAAGCAAACGACATCCCCCACCCATCTATTTGCAGGGTGAAAGCATTAGCTACGTTAAAACTTAGATATCTTGGTGTAGATGTACCCTATAACAAATCCACTATACCACAACTAAATAAGAAATGCAAAGATAGGCTAAATGCTCTCAAAGCTGTTGCTGGCTACAACCCCAATTATGGTGCTAATGTGAGAATCGTGAGAATGATGTACATAGCCTATGTTGGGTCCTTAATTGATTATGCTGCTCCCATCTTGATATTAGCTAGAGAAAGTTATCTCCGACCCTTGGAGTTAATGCAAAATTAAGCTCTCAGAATTATTCTTGGCTGTCCCAAATCTACAAAGGTTCTTAATATGAGGAAGGAGCTAGGTATTTCTAGTATCAGTGATAGGATTGTTAAGATTAACACTGTACTCGGTATTAGAATGTTAAGAAATGAACCAGAAACTGTCATAATGAATCTTACTAAGTGTCGAGAAGTAAATACACACGGATCTAAATGGATTGTGAAAACGTGCAATTACATTAAGTTTTATAACCCGCATGAACTGTATCACTGTAGACAACAAGAGCATTTCAGCCTTCCATGGAAGGTGTGTTCATTTAATATCACATACCTGCAAGTCCCTCCCAAGAAGCTCATTGCTGGTAATCCCTTCCTTAAAGGTATACAATGGGCTAAAGGACTACCCAAAGTTCTACTGACCGAGGAAGTTACAGTAGCAAGGAATGCATTATCAGAATTAGTAAAACTTTAATGAAATGCTTGTACATTACTGTACACTATACAGTAACATCAAATGTTAAAAGGCTGAGAGTGCTCTTTTGGTTGAGCAAGTTGGTGGTCAGTTAAGTACAGTCCTTACAGTAGTTAAGGTATGTAACCATGAATGGTAATGCTTCATATTTCTGTAACATTAATGGGGGAATTATAAAATTTATTTTTTTAAATTGACATAAGAGTAGTTATCACCATGGTGGCGGCATGTGTGGTTATATATGAGGGAGGGTAGGCTCAAGCACCTGGGGTTGTATGGTTAGGGACAACCATGTTTAAGCTACCAAAGATGCTAACTTCATTCACTACTTGGCAGATTATTCCACTCTCCTACAGTTATTTCCAAACTCATACTTTCCCATGTCTCTAAATGAGAATTTAATCCATTGTTTAATTTTTTTCTGTTACATATTCTCAGAGATTGGTACAGTACCAAATTTGCACATGAAAATCACTCCCTACAAATGCAAAAGACCTGGCAGGCGATGCAACATCCCCCCCAATGAAAAGTTGGGGCCCCATAATTAGACTATAAGACAACACAAAAAGTGTCAAGGGCCCCAAGACTGTTCAACTGCCTCTTGGCATTCATAAGGGGGATTACCAATAGACCCCTGGCTGTCTTCAAAAAAGCACTGGACAGGCATCTAAAGTTGGTACCTGACCAGCCAGGCTATGGTTCATGCGTCAGTTTATGTGCAGCTAACAGTAACAGCCTGGTTGATCAGGCCTTGATCCACTGCAAAGCCTGGTCACAGACCGGGCCACAGGGGCATTGACCCCTAAAACCCTCTCCAGGTATACTCCAGGCACCCTATTGATATCTTCATTATTTATACCTATCTTCCACTTTATAAAAGTTCTCTCCTTATCCTAACTTTTTCAAAAGGGTGCAGGTTCAGAGCTCTTGTTCTCTTTTTAGTAAAGATTCTCTATTTGGTGGATTAGTGTTAATTTCTTTAGTACACTGATAGCCATCCTGTATAAAAACATGACCTGTTGTACAATCTGTACGAGGCCTTACTTATTATGTAAAGAGCTGTATAATACTCTTATATACTGTGGCTTATGCTTAACATAAATCCAAGCAGTCTGTTAGCTTTATTACAGCTGCTTAGGCACTGCTGTTTTGGCTTTAGACTTCTGGTTACCAACTCCAAAAGTCCTTTTCACCTGTATGATAGGTCTATATTAATTAGTTTACAAGTGCTAGGGTTATTTTCATTTATAAAGATTAGGCTCTTGCCCCTTCAAAGTGAACCTAATTTGCCAATTTTCCAACCACAATAATTTGCACTAAACATCCTATAAAGAAGAGTGCTTTCCCTCCACTGGGTCACCTTTAGACAGTGGTGAGGTTTGAGTGGTTTGTGTCTAAGGGTAGGGGCCTCTTGTCTGAGTGAGTTGCTATTTTCCTCAGTCCTTTCCTGACTAAGAACATTGCATCTCTTGAGAGTAACTGTGGGGATATTTCCCCTTTCATTTAAATTTGCTGATCTTGACTGACAATGAATGAATGGATGTGAAGTGCAGAATGTGAAAAATATAATTAGCAAAGTTTTACTTGCTTTGTGATTAGGATTAATGAAATGTGAATTTGTAAGAACAGTAGGAAGTTGATAATGTAAATTCAGTGTTTGTTACATTGTTCTCAGCACTGAATAACCAAGTGGTTAAAGTACTTTGTAAATAAGGAAAGATGAAAGCCATTCAAGGGGGAGCAGAAAGTAGGTATACCTTGGTGCCAGCAAAGGATTCTTGATCCAAGGAATTATCTACTTTCCCCCTTTTCTGATCAGACATAATTGCCCATTCCCCAATCACTATGAGCCTTCATGTTTAGTTTCCCCATAACTATAACAAAATACAATCTTGTGTCATCCACATCTATGTAATCACTTGATCACACTGTGTATGCAGTTACTTCATGCATGTTCCTTTCTTTTAGGTTGGTTTCTTATGCACGGACACCTGAAGTGTTCGTATTGGCAAGCATCATCCTGCGGCTGATGACTGCCATTGGCTCGTCTTTCTTCCTCACTGTCATCTATGCTGTTGTTCCCCTTCTCTTTCCCAGTGAGTCTCTTGTTCTGCCATTGTTTGGATCCTTTTATAAGCTAACCTTGAAAAATTCTGAAACTGAAAGCTCTGTATAATACAAATCAGGAGAGTGGAGACTAACTGTAGACTTAATCTGCACAGATTCCACTGAAATCTAATTCTTTTATCTGCAATTGGTGTTTCTAACTTTTTCATTGTGAATAACTGTTGCTAAGTCTACTTTGGGCACAAGTGGTCAGCCACTGGCTCACTTTCATTTTTAAGCCAGTACTGTATCTTTAGTTTTGGCAGAAGATGCCTGCCAAAATTGGGGTGTGCCTTATATGCTTGTGTGCCTTATATGCTTGTGTGCCTTATATGCTTGTGTGCCTTACGTGCTTGTGTGCCTTACGTGCTTGTGTGCCTTATGTGCTTGTGTGCCTTATGTGCTTGTGTGCCTTATGTGCTTGTGTGCCTTATGTGCTTGTGTGCCTTATGTGCTTGTGTGCCTTGTGTGCTTGTGTGCCTTGTGTGCTTGTGTGCCTTGTGTGCTTGTGTGCCTTGTGTGCTTGTGTGCCTTGTGTGCCTTGTGTGCCTTGTGTGCCTTGTGTGCCTTGTGTGCCTTGTTGCCTTGTGTGCCTTGTGTGCCTTGTGTGCCTTGTGTGCCTTGTTGCCTTGTGTGCCTTGTGTGCCTTGTGTGCCTTTGTGCCTTGGTGCCTTGTGTGCCTTGTGTGCCTTGTGTGCCTTGTGTGCCTTATGTGCTTGTGTGCCTTATGTGCTTGCGTGCCTTATGTGCTTGCGTGCCTTATGTGCTTGCGTGCCTTATGTGCTCGCGTGCCTTATGTGCTCGCGTGCCTTATGTGCTCGCGTGCCTTATGTGCTCGCGTGCCTTATGTGCTCGCGTGCCTTATGTGCTCGTGTGCCTTGCATGCCAAAAAATACTGTATTGTACTTGAAATGTTAGTGACAATAATAGCAGTATGAATCAGAGCATTTAGAATTTTATTAATTTGCAAAAATGCAAGTGTAATATCCAAAGGATGACATGTTCTTAATGATGCTAAACTTTGTCATGTCAGTGATTGTTGCAAATAAGAAATTTTTTAAAGAACTTCAGAATATGGCCTGTTACCATTTATTTCTTATGCAACAAGATTTTTGGATCCGAGTTATTTAAAGGTATTTTAGTCTAGGGGAAATAATTTCAACTGGGAAACTCCATAGAGTAATATTCAAATTTATTAAAGTATTTAAATACAATACTTTATCTTCTCTCTTAATACTTTGTACAATAAATTTACCATATACATTTAGTTCAAAATCATGGAAATGTCACATTAATAAGGAAGTTTAATTATTCTTCGTGTAATTAAGACTTAAATAACATTTACGTCTTTGTCTTAATAAGACTGTAAACTCAAAATACAAAAGGTACAAGATTTGGCAAGACCTTTGAATCTGGCCGTAAAGTATCTCTATGGATTACTGAACTGACCAAGAATATAAATATCAAAAGAATCTTTCAGAGCAATTAGGAACAAACTGAGTCAGCTCTATAGTCCAATTCTCAAAACCATTCAAACTGTACACCGTAAGAGCCAATATACGATCAGTTGTCAGGGCTAGAGCAGGGAGCGGACTGACTACTTGCCAGTCTGTTGACGCGTCGTCAGGTTGGATCAGCTGACCCAAATGTCAGCCAGCCGGACATAAACAATTGAACAATTCACCGGATAGTTCCGAGACTTAAACTCTATATACACAAGAAATCCTACCTAACAATAATAATAAAATAATAGAGATAATAATAACAAAATAGCGATAATAACAAAATACAGTGGACCCCCGGTTAACGAACTTTTTTCATTCCAGTAGTATGTTCAGGTGCCAGTACTGACCGATTTTTTTCCCATAAGGAATATTGTGAAGTAGATTAGTCCATTTCAGACCCCCAAACATACACGTACAAACGCACTTACATAAATACACTTACATAATTGGTCGCATTTGGAGGTGATCGTTAAGCGGGGGTCCACTGTAGTGATAATACCATGGTATTTTTCATATATTAACAGATAATAATATAACGCCGAAAGTCTCTATTTTAGCTATAAACGGGGACTTTCGCGCTATAATATTAAGTGATGAACATTTTCTCTTACAATAGTTAAATAACACAGGATGACCAATTTCAAAGATATAACAGTGATCATATAGTAGTATGTTCAAGGGGAAATTCTGAACCCATACAGGTCATACAGTATATGATCTAAAGTTTGATCCAGGAAAGGAGATGATGGTTCCACTTCTCTAGATGAAGAGCCATTCACAGGCATAGACACTTCCATTGAATTGTCAGCGACCATAACTGTCCCTTAAGCTGGTCCTCTACCAAAAATATCTATTCCTCTTTAAACCTTCATTAACATTTTGCCTTTCTACACTTTTCACATCTGTTTTGCCATCATTAAGATAGCTGTAGAAGCTCATTAGAGAACAAAATACTTTTAATTCATTGTGCTCCTTTGATCCTTCTTAAACGTCTGATTTTTATCAGAGATTTTTGGGACTTGTTTCTAAAATCAAAATTTTGAATATTGTGATTGTAAGCAACTTTATCAACAGATCAGTTTCTTAGTCTATGCAAAATCTCTCTCCAGATGACATGAATGCTGTGAATGGAATGCTGGAAACAGTGTCTGGTTTGGGCATGTGTATTGGTCCTGCTGCTGGTGCCTGGTTGTATTTGGTAAGTGTACTCTTGTATCTGGGATAGAGGAAAAAAGCGTAACCTTTGGTTTGAGATTGGAAAGTGTAGCGTAATATCCCCGAAACCTATTAACACCTAACATTCCCTCCCCCCATCCTCTACCTACCAAAACTCTGGGATTGTAAATGTCCCCTTTTTTTTTAAACAACCCTAACTTAACCATCATTTTAGCATTGTTCCTTAACATAATGACTTTAGTCATTGTGCTAACTAATATTGTCTTGGTCCTAAGGAAGGAGGATTCAGCCTGCCTTTCTTCTGCCTGGGAACCTTCATTCTCCTCACTGTTCCTGCCAGCTACTTTGCCTTCCCTAGTAATGGTAAGCTTTATCAAAAAATTTAAAAGCAGTGTTTGCCCTCCACTGTCTTTTCTCTTGTGTCTCGGTCCATTATGAGCAATAACCTTCAGTACTAATGGTTAGTAAATTTGTAAAGGAAGATCACTCTTTTGTAAAACCATTGATCAAATTATATCATTCAAGATGGCTTTGAATTGTATTTGCAATGGATTATTGACTTTTTTTTCAATTAAGATCTAAAAGTTGAAGCTAAGAACCTATCTCCTGCTTTGTAAGCAAGTATCACATTTACCGTTTTTCACTTACTGGTATGATACCCAATTGTAGTGATCCATTGAATGGACTAGCTAATGGTTTGCCTAGTTGTGATCTTGCATAATTTATTTTTGCCCTATCCTGTATAATTATTGATTTCTAGGATTTTGTTTATCTCCTTGTGTACAATAAATACAGTGGACCCTTGGTTTTTGTGATTTCCCTTGGATTTCAGCAGTCGTACAGTACATGTCCCAGTAGCCTTGCGCACACTAAGCCTCCCACAGACGCATTCAAGAGTCAGTCTGGCATTGTTTCTCGGCGAGTGAACATTACCCTGCGAGGTAATACGAAACATTTCATAATACGTACATTATTTTTTGCACTTGTTTGTGTGTGACTGTTAAATAAGCCACCATGGGCCCAAAGAAAGCTGCTAGTGCCAGCCCTTTAATAAAGAAGGCAAGAAACATGATAGAATTCAAGAAACACACCAGCGAAGGCACTTCCCCACACACACCTGACAACCCTATGCCTGTTGTGGAATCTATTGCAGCTTTGGGGAAATCCATGGGGTTGGATGTGAGTCAGACCACTGAACCTAACCACTGAAGAACTGCAAGAGCTTCATCTGCAACAGCAACAGACCACAACTGAGGAAATTGCTTCAGAGGAGGAGGAGAAAGAGAGAGGGGAAAAAGGTGCCTTCTTCAGTGATTAAGGACATTTATGCAAAGTGGAATGAGGTGCAAACTTTTGTGGAGGACCATCACCCTAGCAAAGCTGTTGTAGGCCGTGTCTGTGACATGTTCAATGACAACGCTTTGTCCCATTTTGGGCAAACCTTAGAGATGCCAGAAACAGTGCTTTCTGGAACAAATTTTTAAGCAACCGAGGTCCAGTGACTCTCAAGCTGGTCCTAGTGCCATTAAAAAACAAAGGGAAGTAACCCTGGATAAGGACTCTGTACCTAAAGTCTTTATGGAGGGGGATTCTCCTTCCGAACAATAGTAACTTCTCCCTCTCCCCTCCTCCCGTCTTGCATACACCAACAAGTCTTCAATAAAGGTAAGTGTGATGTTATTTTTGCTTTATATTGATTTGTCATTCTTTTCTGTATGTAAATCTATATTTAATCTCTAAAAAAAAAAAAAAAAAAAAAAAAAAAAAAAAAAAAATTGTTAATACTTTTGGGTGTCTGGAACAGATTAATTGGATTTACATTATTTCTTATGGGGAAAATGGTTTTGGTTTTGGTTTTCGTGAATTTTGGTTTTCGGCAGGCTCTCTGGAACGGATTAATCTCAAAAACTGAGGGTCCACTGTAGTAAAAAATGGTACAAATTTCTTTGCCATTAGCAGTAAGTTGACTCAAATTACATAAGTGGGCCCAGATTTTCCCCTAAACTTTATTCTATATACCTGACAAACCCTTTGGGTTGGCCTTAGATTCCCTCACAACATCTTTTGGCTTATCCTTATTATTTTTTACATTGAATTTATTGGTCAATAAAGTGACCCTTCTTTTGATTCACTATTAAATGCCCCTTTTTACCCCCAGAAATGATTGTCTATTTATTCATTTAGTCAGTCTTTACTTGTGCAAGACAGGTATACAATACCGACAAGATGAAAGTTAAGACACTTGTGCAGCATCTGGTTATCTTTATTGTAGACTTTTCACCATCCAGTGGCTTTATCAATACAGATTCTTGGACATAATTAGGAAACAAGATATATATATAAAAGATGAGGTAATCAGTCCCTCAGCCTTGGAGGTGGTGTTTACAGCACCATGGTTGTAGAGATTCTGAAGCACAGGTAAGGAGACTGGCGCTTATATAGGCGTCAGTGAATAGGGACGTGTAGCAGACGAGGGCATAGTCACTGGTAGGCGGGATTCCCCAGTGGAAGTAGGTCCTTCCCAAATTGATGGGCTTGTTGTAGAAGTCGTGAAGAAGGTCAAGTAGATGTCCTCTGAATCAAGATACCATGATGTTGCAGTGCCTGACAAGTTGTGCAAGACAGGTATACAATACCGACAAGATGAAAGTTAAGACACTTGTGCAACATCTGGTTATCTTTATTGTAGACGTTTTGCCATCCAGTATTGATAAAGCCACTGGATGGCGAAACGTCTACAATAAAGATAACCAGATGTTGCACAAGTGTCTTAACTTTCAGTCTTTACTTAATTTCACTCTGGAGTGAGTGTGGCTTGGGCTACTTGACAACTTTTTCCAAATTTGTCATTAAGGTAATTTAGCAGATATTGAAATTAGGTGATTTGTGATCACTTTCCTCAAGCTCTTCATTAACTTTAAGGTTATTTATCATATTCCTTGTTTGACAAAACCAAATCAGGCAAATTATTTCTTCTAGTTGGTTCTAAAAAATCATACTTAAAAAAGCAGTCTTGGACTATGTGATACAAATAAAGGGCTCTTAATCCAAGGAATTAGAGCCCCATTCCTCTTCCTCAGATCCCACCTGATTACCCCATTACTCCTAGTTTCCTAATATTGCATGTTCTTTATGGGTTTAGCACTTCCCTATGATTAAAATGCTGTACAAGTCACCCATCACTAATCCAGCAATCAGTTATCCAGTTCCATCAGTAATCCAGCACTAATTTCAGCTAGCATAATTTCAGATTTCATCATTATACTGACTCGAATCATTATACTGACTCAGAAATTGTGCATATGGTTGTAAATCCACAGCAACAAGCCAGTGGAGGAGAAAGCAGTGGTGAAAATGAGGCAGGTGTAGCAGAAAGTCTCTATTGATTAGGTTAATTAAGTGTATTCTAATCTAACCACTCTGTAATCCGGCAAACTTGCTAATCTGGCTTGCTACAGGTCCCAGCGATGCCAGATTAATGAGGGCCAACCTGTAATATAATAGGCACATTCTCTTAATCCTAGGTAGTAGGTTGGTAGACAGCAACTGCCCAGGGAGGTACTACTGTCCTGCCAAGTAAGTTTAAAATGGAAGTCTGTAATTGTTTTATGTGATTGTAGGATTGCTGGTGTCTTTTTTTTTCTCTCTCATAAACATGCAAGATTTCAGGTACGTCTTGCTGCTACTTACACTTAGGTCACACTACATATACATATACAAACATCTCCATGGGGAAGTGGACAAGAATTCTTCCTCTATAAGCCATGAGTGTCATAAGAGGTAACTAAAATGCCAGGAGCAAGGGGGTAGTAACCCCTTTATACATTGCTGAGTTTATAAAGAGAAACCTTCATTTTTCTTCTTGGGCCACCCTGCCTCAGTGGGATACAGCTGGTGCATTGGAAGAAGTAGAATTTATATATTTATTTATTTTTATTAATTTGAACATGATACAGAGAAGTACAAGGAATACAATTTTTAAAATGCAGCATGCCGAAGCCCCTCTTAATCCATTATTCACATTTAAGGGCCTTTTAACCCGTAAATGTTCCAAACGTGTGTATATACCTTTTTACCACTAGTGCCCCAAACGTATATATACATTTTATGTGTCATACATTTAACATTGCCACGATAAGCCTGAGTACCTAGACATGAGAGAATGGGTGTGAGCACTCGCTGTGCGCCATATTAAAATAATTGGGGATGCCAGGGTACCATATACTCTTTTTTCCTATTAACCCTTTGAGGGTCAACAGGCCCTCTCCAAGACTCGTTCTCAGGGTCAGCCAAATTTAAAAAAAAAAATTATTTTTTCTTATGAAAAGATAGAGAATGTTTTCCCGATCATATTGACACCAAAAGTATGAAATTTGATGGAAAACTTGCGGAATTATGCTCTCGCGAAGTTAGCGGTCTCGACGATGTTTACTCATCGGCGATTTTGCCCACTTTGAGCCCTATTTTCGGCCAATTCCAGTGTACTAGTCGACAGAAATCATAACTATTTTTCTAGAACTATTTTTTCTATTAAGTACAAGAAACCACCCATTTACTGATTTCAACTATCCAATACATTGTACAGTGGTCAGAATTTAGAAATTTTGCCAATTTCACACAAATTTCAAAAGATGCCAATTTCCAAATAGGGTCCAGAATAAACAAAGACATTCCTGGCACTAAAATAACATTTCCTCTGTTCGTTAGTCACATCCCCATGCCCCTCTTATATTTCTTTGGCTTTCCACTTTCAATTTTTATTCTTACAAAAAATAGAAGATTTACTGTTATGCAGACTGCTGCATTAGTGTAGAAATGGTACAAATAATATCAGCGCACTTGTGAAAGAATATTAGACTCGCCAGTTGATGTGTATTGGACGCTTGGCATGATTTGTTTACTTTTGAACTTTGGTAAAAATCGAACATTTCTGCTAATTTGAGCTCAGTTTCAAGGTACTTTTCATTGCAAAACCAGTCAAAATCGTCTGGATTTGTGTAATATGTCTTCCATTCTATAAAATGAGACCAAGAAAACTAGAATACAACAATAAATACCATACGAAAATACAGTGCAAAGTCGCTTTTTATTCCAAAAACACGGTCAAAGTTTTTTTCTCATTATGCACTGTGTGCTGCAGGATTTTTTTTTATTGCGCACACTGACCACATAGACCCATTCTTTCATATGTATGCCTACCAGCTTTCTCCCACTAGATTTGAGGGCGCTAGAATTTAGGCGTACTAGTACGTCAAAAACCCTGGATCGTAAGCCGTACTAGTACGGCCAAAACCCTCAAAGGGTTAAAAAACAACAATTTTTTTTTTCTCAAAAAAGTTGGGGCAGTACGGTAGTGAACGTATATATACGTTTGGATCGTTTATGGGTTAATTGTGAGCAGATGCACTGATTGGCCTTCTGGACCCTGCAGTATTTAACATTCAAAATTCTTTTCTTCCCACTTAAAAATAAGACCCTTTACTCCCTGCTTGCAGTACTACAATGTTTCAGAGATAGAGGTGGAGCGTGGGGCAGCTAGGTCAGCTTTGCGAGTGTTGGTGCAACCTGGAGCACTTGTCTCTCTCCTTATACTGTTCACTACAGCTGTGTGTCTAGCAGTCCTCTATCCCACCCTCCAGCCCCACATGAGCAAGGTCAGTGTCTCTCTCCACATTTTCAGTGTATTCCTTTTCCCTCGTCCAGGTCTGTCTTGTAAATAGTGTGTCATCCTTGTTGATGCCTTTAGATGTAGATTTTATTCAAATTAGCCCCCCCCCCCCCCCAAAAAAAAAAATAGCCCTTAAACTGTCTGGTTATTTCCATTGGATCCTCTAATTCTCTCACCAGGATGTGACCCACAACAGTCTCCCAACACCCAGGTACTTGTTTCTACATGAACAGGGGGCAATGGGTATAAGGAAACATACCCAAAGTTTCCACTCCTTTGGGAACCGAACCCCCAATCCCTCTATAGAGCTGAGGCCGCTACCAATTGACCCCATGGCCACCCAGTACCAAGTACAAATCAAAGATGAAAAAAAGTTTATTTCTTTGTAAAGGTTACAGTGTGTAATTACAGTTTTGGTTTGCTAAGTACGAAGAAAGCCACTATCATGCCAGGGCATTTTGGGTAGACTAGTCCTAGTAGTAGATAATTACTTAAATCTAGACAAGATAAATGGTTAACTTGTATTAAAATCTTTATTTAACCTTAATACTAATGCAAGGTAGTCAAGGTGGAAGTTTATAAGAATAATAATCTTGAAGTTGCACATAATAAAAACTATTACAAATAATGGTTCAAACAGTAATATTTCATAAATTCGCAGATGTTTAATAGACTACGTCATATAATGTACATATTTGGGAGAGTTGTTTCAAACTGATTAGAAGTTGTTGGTTTGGTTAGCATTGAGAGAAGAGATGATTTTTAAGCAATCCTAAATTTATAAGTAGTCAGGGGATCCTTTACTGGTTCAGGTAGTGAATTCCAGATCTTCAGGCCCTTTATGTGCATTGCATTTTTACATAGTTTGAGACTGACACTAGGGATGTCGCAGAGTACCTTGTGTTGTGACTTTGCTTTCTGTTGTAGCTATCAAGGAGAAGTTTAAGTGGAGGATTTATATTGGAGTTTAATGTTTTGTATATGTAGTAGGCACAATAATGTGAGTGTATGTCTCGTATGATTAGTAAGTTCAGGCTTTTGAAAAGTGGTGGGGTGTGCTGTCCAGCACAGGAGCTGGTAATCATCCACACAGCAGCTTTTTGGTGGGTTATTAAAGGTTTAAGATGGTTGGCTGTGGTTGATCCCCAGGCACAAATACCACAGGTGAGGTAGGGATATATTAGTGGTATAGGGTAAGGAGTGTCATTTGGGGTATATAGTATAATATCTTGGAAAGGATGCCATCCAATGGCTGGCTGGATGCTGAAACGTCTACGATAGAGATGCCCAGGTGTTGCGCATGTGTCTTAATTTCATCTTGTCGGTATTATACACCATTCTTGTACTACTACTACTACTACTTCCACCACCTCTTCCTGCCTATATATAGCCGTCCTGCTCCACTTCTGGTTAATGTGACTTTGTAAATGGTCCGAGTCTGACCGAAACGTCGTCGTAAGCTTCTCTCTTTTATGTGCGGGTTATTTGTGTATCGTTCCAGTCAGGGTATTGTGCCTTTTTTGTTATTTAATTTACCCTCAGTTTGTCTTGTAATAGGGGAACTGTGTATCTATTTATTAAGTTGGATATTTAAGGCTCTGTTTCCAAACAGCATGAAGGATGTTTTGTCTATGTTGAGAGTGAGTTTGTTGGTCATCATCCAAGTACGTATATATTTTTAGCAACTCATTGTTTAGTCTCTAAGTATAGCTGGGTTTGAGTGGGAGTAGACACTAGTGTCATCTGCAAATAGAACTGGTTTAAGGAGTTGAAATGCATTGGGGAGATCATTGATGTAGATGAGAGAGGAGTGGGCCTGGGACACTACCCTGGGGCACTCTGACAGCTACAGCCTGGATAGTGGAGTTGACTCGATTTGCATATACATACTGATGTCTATCATTAGGATAAGATTTTAGGTAATCGAGGGAATGTCCTCTGATGCCATAATGATTTAGATTTAGGTGCAGGAGATTGTGGTCCACTGTATCAAATGCTTTCCGTAAGTTAATGAAGAGCCCCAGGTGATATTCGTTTTTATTGAGGACTGTATACATTAGTTCAAGCACTTGTAAAATAGCATCATTTATATTTTTTTTTTCTAAACCCAAACTGGCAGGGGTTAAGTATGTTGTTGGATATAAGGTAGGAGTAAAGTCATTTGTGTATTATTTTTTCAAATATTTTAGAAAGTAAGGGCAAGTTTGCTATAGGTCTATTGTTGTTCAAATCAGTTGGATCACCTTCTTTGAGGATCGAGGTAACCCTTTCTGTCTCGAGTATGGACGAGAAGGTTGAAGACTCTACAGATTTGTTAAACAGTGTTGCAGTAATGGGTGACAGCATGTGAGTAGCTTTTTTTTTATGAATGGTGGTATGTTATTTAGATCTCCTTTGTTTTTAATGATTTAATGATGAGTGGGACTTAAGTAGAATTAGTTGGAGCTAGATATAGTGTTTGGGTAGTTGCCAGTGAGGTAGTCTTTCGGCTGGGTATTTGAGCTAGGAATTTTGCTTGCTAGCTTCGATCCTACAGTAGAGAAGAAGACATTAAATTTGTTGGCTGTGGGTATAGGCTGTATGTGAGGTTTTATCTGATTTAGTTAAGTTTATTTCTCTATTTCTAGACAGTTTTCTAGAGCCCAGAAGGATTTTATTGTGGCCCAGTGGTCTTCCATAATGGCCCAGGAGGGGGCCCATGCCCCCCCACTACCCCATATCAATCCCTGTTAGTCCGTTATGTCCAAGGGCAGTGGGCCGTGCAGAAGAGTTGAATGTTGTATATGGGTAGGCAGGAAGTTGATTTTTGTACCCAGTATTCCCACAGGAATCCTCACTCATGGATTCTGCTTGCCAGGGATCTTCTCCACTGTAAGTTTATGTAAGCATGAATTGGGTCACACCCAGAAAAAAAAAAAGGTAAGTGGTAATGCATTATTTACAGTTTACCTGGAGTTTACCTGGAGAGTGGGCAAAGTCAGGGTGTTTTTCGAGATTGGTTGGTAATATACTACTTCAACATTTCTGAAGTCCTCTGTGTGACAGTATTTTAACTGCTCTCTTCAGACTTTCTTCAGATTTTTCACCTTTAGCATATTTTTTTTTTATTATGTAGGTGTCTGCCAAGACCTTGACAAACTTTTATCCAAGTCTTCTACTGTAATGTGGGACCATTGATCTCTTGTACCTTCCAGGAAGATGCCTTGTTGCTATTGAGAGGCTATTGATCCAAAGAACTGAACTTCGCCTCCCTTTCCTCAGATTGAACCTAGTGGTCTCCCAGGCACTGTGACCCCTTTTGGTTTAGTGTTTACCCAATTAAAGTGGAATGATCTGTTTGATGGATGCAAATCATTTTAACCTTGTATGAGCTAGTACAGTAAACCCTCCATTTAATGGACTCTGGAAATGCGCAAAAAAAAAAAAAAAAAAAAAAAAAAAAAAGGAAATCCACTGGGTCAATTGATTTGGAAATGAACAAGGTCCTTTGGCCCCAGAATTGTTCATTAGTTAGTCAGGGCAAAACAATCTTTTTCTCTATCTACCACAGTTACCATTACTGGCTACCTGCTCCCCAATTACTAGTCCATTACATAGAGGTCTTACTGTAATGTCATTTTATTGTTTTATGGCAGATATAATACAGTACATTGTGAAAAGGTACAGTACGGTACAGTAATTTTTTTTTTTAAAGGGCGACTCCCTGTGGCATGCAGAAAGTATATAACCTTTATTCGGCGCATGTACACACCCTCATTAAAAAACTATCTCCCCAACCAGTGAACCTGGTGCTAAGAGTCAGACGATGGGGCCCCATCTTCAGATCAGTATCTAGGTTCAGCCAATGAGAAAGTGGATCTGGCAATTGTGGAGGTAACATGGTAACCACTCAAGGTTCCACCCTTGTCATTTCCATTCGAGAGCTGGTTGAAGCACAGTCTGCTCTCTAGTAGTAGTAATTCTGCTTGATTACCGTGGCGTGCACTAATACCTATTGCTTTACATAGTGTATATAGTGTACATACTGCTGTTTATACCTGGTAAAGGATAATACAAGTCAAAGTTTTTGGCTGTGTTTATTTTGCTCCCTTTACATCCAGGATAACAGGCTTTTTTGTTCCTGGGTTGTAATACTCCCCAATGGAAATTAACCAAATAGTGGCTTTATTGAGTTATCCTGGGTTACTAACCTGTCTGGGTTAATACAGTAAATCCTTGATGTAACAGATTAATGGGGAGTATGGTCTGAGTCTGTTAAATCAAAATGTAGAGTTTTTATTTTTTAAGTACTCCACTGCATACCTAATATAGTACTGTACACTATTTATATTACAATAAACATTGAAAATAAAGCAGTTAAAATTATAAGTAACTGGTAGATATTGCCTAATAATTTAAGTTCATTATATTGAGAATTTACTGTAATCAGAGTAAAACTTTGGACCCAAAAATTGAACCACATTGTCTCATTCAAAGTACAGGTACAGTACTATACTTAGTTTGAAAACTCCGGTCCAGCTAATCAGTGCCCTGAATCCCTTCATGTCTCCCTGACACACCCCACCATCAGTTAACTACATGAAAACTGCCTATTCTTTTTTATCATACACACACAAAAACAACCTAGACCTGCCCTCGATATCTGTGATTCCCCACAATTCACAGTTTCACTCGCCCAATTAACTATAAACATAGAAATACGTAATACAACTATTACCTAATGAATCTTTAGTCATAAGTTTGCCTGTGATACTCCTAAATAAACACTATATATTGTACCAAAACAAAACTATTCAAATTGCTAAATTTACAAACTGTAATGCAGTTACTTAGCCTTAATACCAATATGCTGCATAATCTGTACCAATATAGAGTTTTGAATTAATCTTAGTCTGCCCAAAATGCCTAGTCATGCTAGGTGTGATAGTGGCCCTCTCTGTAATTAGTATTTTATAACATGTGAACCACACAATATCCTATAATATGTAAACCCTGCATTGTAATCTTTATAGACAACAAACTTTATTGGATTTGATTTGATTCATAGATGTTACCTTGCTCACTCCAACAGCCCATCAAATCCCAAATGCCACTTTTCTCCAATAACTCCAGTCCATCACACTTGCACATGCCCTGCCATCCTCCACTTTTGCCTCATCAGATGTATCAAATCAAATCAAAATTTATTCTCTATAAGGATTACAATGTGGGGTTTACAGATTTTGGTTATTGTGTGGTTTACATGTAATAAAATACTAATTACAGAGGGGGCCGCTAGAACACCTAGCAAGGCTAGGCATTTCGGGCAAACTTAGATTAATTCCTAACCCTAAATTATTACAAATTGTGGAGTAAGTTGACTAAATACTAAGTGGCTAAATACTAAGTGACTAAATACTAGTTTGTGAGTTTAGCAATGTGAATGCTTTTGTTTTGGCACAATACATAGTTTCTATATTGGAGTATCACAGGCAAACTTGTGACTAGTTAGGAATCATTATTTTAAGATTAAGATACGTATTTCTGTGCCTATAGTCAAATGGGTGAGTGAGTGTAAGTGTGAACCACCAGGTGGTTTTTATGTAGTTAGTTGACAGGGTGTATCAGGGAGATAAGATGTTTTCTAACAGTAGTTTTGAAGGTGATGAATGTGTCTGCAATTCTAGAGTTTTCAGGTAGGGTGTTCCAGATTTTAGGGCCTTTGACATACATTGAATTTTTGTATAGATTTAGTTGGACAAGGGGAATGTCGTAGAGATGTTTGTGTCTGGTGTTATGCTTGTGGGTCCTATCACAACCATCAAGAAAGCATTTTAGGTCAAGGTTAATATTGGAATTTAAGGTCCTGTATATGTAGATTGCACAGTAGTAAGTGTGGTTGTTCTGAACAGGGAGTAAGTTTAGATCTATGAAGAGTGGGGGGGGGGGGAGTGTTGCCAGGGATGGGATTTAGTGATTATTCTTACTGCGGCTTTTTGTTGAGTTATTATTAGCTTTAGGTGTATTGCTGCAGTTGAACCCCAAGCACAAATAGCATAGGTGAGGTATGGATAAATGAGTGAATGGTATAGTGTGAGAAGGGCATTTTGCGGCACGTAGTATCATATCTTGGAGAGGATCCCAACTGTTTTGGATACTTTTTATGACATGTGTTGGATATGGGTGCTGAAATTCAGGTTGTTGTCGAGGTATAGGCCTAGGAATTTGCCCTCATTATGTCTGGCAATTAGAGTGCTGTCAATCTTAATATTTAGTTGTGCAGCACCTGCTCTGCTACCAAACATAATATAGTAGGTTTTGTCTGTGTTAAGTGTAAGTTTATTGGCTGTCATCCAAGTTGATATTTTGAGCAGCTCCTCATTAACAATGGTGTTGAGGGTGGCAAGATTAGGGTGAGAGATGACATAAGTCGTGTCTGTCAGCAAAGAGAATGGGTTTCAGGTGTTGGGATACGTTTGGAAGATCATTGATGTATATGAGGAAGAGCAGGGGACCAAGGACACTTCCCTGTGGAACTCCAGTATCAAGTGGCCGTGTTGATGATGCTGTGTCTTTAATGGTGGCATACGGATACCTATTAGTAAGGTAGGATTTGAAATATGGAAGCACATGCCCTCTTATACCATAATGGTCAAGTTTGTGGAGCAGGATGCCATGGTCTACTGTGTCAAAAGCTTTTCTTAGGTCAATAAAAATTCCTAGTGGATATTCCTTATTTCTCAATGCTGTGTAAAGCAGATCTAGCATTTTTACAATTGCATCATTAGTGCTTTTATTTTTCCTGAAACCAAATTGGCAGGGGTTAAGTATGTTTTGTGCCGTTATAAATGAATACAGTCTCCTGTGCACGAGTTTCTCGAAGATTTTGGATAGCAATGGTAAGTTTGATATTGGCCTATAGTTGTTTACATCTGTAGGGTCACCACCTTTATGTATTGGTGTAACTCTTGCTGTCTTGAGTAGTTTCGGGAAGGTGCTAGTTTCTAGTGACTTGTTAAAAAGTAATGAAATAGCATGCGAGAGGACATGGGGCGCTTGCTTGTACAATAATGGTGGGACATGAGACAGCCCCCCCCCCCCTCCCGAGTTATTTTTAAGTGACTTTATAATCTCGGTGACTTTGGTGGGCTCAGTTGGTACAAGATAGAAGGAATTTGGGAAATTCCCATCTAGATAGTCCCCGGCACGGGCGTTGGTACGTGGAATTTTACTGGCAAGATTAGATCCTATGGTTGAGAAGTAGTAGTTTATCTTGTTAGCTGTTTCAGTGGGATGCAGTGGTGTTTTGTTAGGTTTAGTTAGGACAATATTCTTGGTTTTTTCAGTTTGTGGGTGCCCAGAATCTGAGTGTGTTTTCCAGGTCTTTTTTATATCTCCTCTTGTCAGTGAATCTGCTGGAGTAGTATAGTTGTTTGACTTTCTTTATTACTTTGGTGAGAACTGATGAATAGTGTGAGAATATCTTTGTGTATTAAGGGAGGCTAATATATTGGTCCATATATGGTCTATTATGGTTTCACTTGTCTGTATTGCACTTGTATGTATTAATTCCTAAAAAGTAGAAGGTATGGTTTATATGATCAATATTTTTATTGCAGTGCTGAATGACTGCAGAATCCCAACATTTGCAGTTTCCAAAATTTTCTTCTCTCTCCTTTCCCTATGTTTGTAAAAGAAATTTGAAAGTGAATAAGAAAGAAAAGGTAAAATGAAAAAAGTATAGTAATAAAGGAAATGAAATGAAACTATTGAAGAGATGAATGTTTTTAGGTACAGTATTTGAGAATATATGTATCAGCTGATGGATCTGTAAGGGAAATAAGTCACAATAAATGGTAAAAAAAAAAAAAAAGGATGGGCCAAGTCTGGAAAGAGTTTCAGTAAATGTCAAAATGGGAATTGCAGTACGTGTATAGTGATATTGCCACTTGTACGAGTGTGATGCATGGTCTTTGTGTTGCATAAAGCAGGAGGAAGCTGACAGCAGTGAAAATGTGTTATTGGAAAACAGAAATGAAATTAGGTGCAAGGGTTGGTGAGATGGTTTTGGTCATGTAGGAAGAATGAAGCACAGGTTAAATACGTATACAGTGGACCCCCGGTTAACGATATTTTTTCACTCCAGAAGTATGTTCAGGTGCCAGTACTGACCGAATTTGTTCCCATAAGAAATATTGTGAAGTAGATTAGTCCATTTCAGACTGCCAAACATACACGTACAAACGCACTTACATAAATACACTTACATAATTGGTCACATTTGGAGGTAATCATTATGCGGGGGTCCACTGTATATTTCTTAGCACAAATAAAGTTGAATAATAGGATGTTGAACATAAATCATCGTTTTATATTACCATGGAGGCATGTAGTCTAAAAAAAAATTGACGTAGTACCAAGCTTACACTCCAGCAGTATCTGTGGGTATCTGTGGAGGTATTAAGGAAAATAGACTAATTGGACTTAATTTTGGATGTTGGATCATTCAGTTTTTGCTCTTTGGGAAGTTTTGGGTCAAAACAGGGCCAGGATTACTGTGACCTAGATTATTATTATAATCAAAAAAGAAGCGCTAAGCCACAAGGCCACTGTGACCTAGAAAGGTAGTTACAGTGAATGTTTTTTTTTAGGTTGCTCTACCTTGATGGAAAGAGAATAGTAGTTTATTTTTAATAGTCTGCCAAATATTTTCATCTAATTAGAATGGCAAGGTATTTTTTTCTTGGTTTATGAAAGTCAAATGCTTTTAATATTTCCTTTACCTACTAGTGTTTTAAATATTATTGATATTCTCCTCTTTTCAGTTAGTCACTGTTTTTGCCTTGCTAATATTATACAGGTCCACAACCCTTTGTCCAAAATTCTGAAATTGGAAAAGTTCACGCCACCACATGGGTCACGCCACCACATGGCGGCCTTGAGAATCATTCTGAACTTCGAAAAATTCTAAATTCAAAATTACACTGGCCCCAAGGGTTTCGGACAAAGGGATGTGGACCTATATTCCTTGCAGATGATTTTTTCCCTCACATTCTGTGTCCTCAGCTGGGTGTGTCTGTAGAGGGCGTGGGACTGGTGTACCTGCTGCTCTCCGCATCCTATGCTGTCTCCTCTCCTCTAGCAGGCCTTGCCACAGATCGTTTTGTTTGCCCCTTTGGTATCATGCTGGTGGGCCTTCTGCTCACTGCTGTTGCCTACATACTTATTGGCAACTCCCCACTCCTGCCTCATCTATCCCACGATGAGTAAGTTGGAAGGGATAGTAATTAAGGACTTATCCCTAAATGTCTCCAAAATGAGAATGAGGTCTGAATCTTTCAGGTTTGAAAAATAATTGTTTTGGGCATAGGAGGATTTTTTGCAACTGTACTATTCTAGTGTAGTATGTTCCATATCCAGTCTTGTGCATCCTCATGTTTGTTCCAGGCTGTACAATGAAGATGTGGCTGGTATTGTTTTACTAGGACTTTCAGCTGCCATGTGCATCGTGCCTACATACGGTGCTATACTGAGCATTGCTGTTAGGTGAGTTGATTCTTGGGTAACTATGTGGACAAGCTAAATATACATTTATGTAACTCTGGGATTTACATATTTGACATTAGTATTCTTGTTTTCCTAATCTAATAATTTTTTTTTTATCATGGTTTGCATTATGTATATTTATGAATTTAAAATACAAATAATTGCAATACTATACTATACACTCTGGTTAATGTAATTCATTAATTTTTTTCCTGACTTGGAACACTGCCACCTTCCACTGTTTGTTGCCCTTTAAAGTTGATGTTCTCTGCTTCCATGTAATCAGTGCAGGAGACGATGACATTAATACATACAGCATGGTGGGAGGAGTCTGGTCGGCAACATACTCTCTCGGGTGAGCAATTAATGCTGGATTGTCACAGTACCTAGGCTAAAATAATTCAAAAGTGACCCACAATATGAAAATGAAAACCAGAGGGGCTCTTATGACCCATCCTGAACTATTATCACTTTACAAGTGAGATAGCAAGAAGAAACCCAAAAGTTAAACCAGAGCATTAAGGATGATTGTGGCAAAGGTGTATTATTAGTAGGTATTGCAGTATTTAAATGGATAGAAAGTTTAGCAGTTTATCATACTGTACTATCCTTTAAGTGGTTAAAAATTTTATGTATGCAGTATTTTATTAATTACAGTTCTCTTCAAAGGAGGTTCCTTGATGCCAGTGAGAGGCTCTTGATCAAAGAAATTAAACCTCTTCTTGCCTTCCTTAGATCAAACCAGATTGCCTCTCATTCCCCATGTGCTGTATGACCCATATGGGTTTGGCACTTCTCCTTAACCCTTAAACTGTCCAAGCAGATCTATGTTCACATGTGTAGTGCTCCAAAAGTAGATTTACATTTTTTTTACATTTTCAAATATTACAAAAAAAAAAAAAAAGTAGATCAAAGTTTTTTACACATTTTCAAATGTAAAAAAAGAAAAGATCTACTTTTTTTACATACTTTCAAATGTTGAAAAAACGTAGATCTATGTTTGACAGCTTAAGGGTTAAATAATATCTAATTTGCCTCGCACACACTGAATTTTTTGGTCCTTGATTAATAGTCAAATTGCATGTAAAGTGTGCATAATCCTGTACTAAGTTCTAAATGTTGGACAGGAAAATAACCATGCCACATATAAACTAAATAATGTAGATCTTAATATTACTGATTGCGTAAAGGATTTGGGAGCTCTGGTTAGCAGTAACCTGAAACAAAGACAACAGTGCATAAGCGTTCACAATAAAGCTAACAGAATACTTGGCTTCATATCAAGAGGCGTAACTAATAGAAATCCTCAGGTTGTTCTTCAACTTTATATATCTTTGTTAGGCCTCATTTAGATTAGGCTGCACAGTTCTGGTCACCATATTAAGCACCATTAAAATGCACTGGAAAACATACAGAGGAGGATGACAAAGTTGATCCCATTTATCAGAAACCTTCCCTGAATCTGCACACTCTATAGAGGCGTAGAATTAGAGGGGATATGATTGAGGTGTATAAATGGAAAACAGGAATGAATGTAAATAGCATGCTAAAAATATCTAGCCTAGACATGATTTGCAGCAATGGTTTTAAGCTGGAAAAATTTAGATTCAGGAAGGATATAGGAAAGTGCTGGTTTGGCAATAGTTGTGGACGAGTGGAACAAACTCCCGAGTACCGTCATAGAAGCTAAGATGGTGTAGTTTTAAAAATAGGTTAGATAAATACATGAGTGGGTGTGGGTTGGACCTGACTAGCTGGTGCTACTGGATCAGATGCCGTGCGTCTTCCTTAAGTGGAGGACCTGTCCCGCATGGGCCAGTAGGCTTGCTGCAGTGTTCCTTCTTTCTTAGGTTCTTATGAGCAACAAACTGCACTGGGGAAGGAGGGGAGGAAATGGGATATAATTTGGTTAAGACCCTTTCAGGCATCATGACTTTCATCAACAGGGAGATGCTGGGCCCCCTCTATGGTGGGATGATGATGGCTTATGTCACTTTTGCTACAGCCACCACCCTCACTGCCCTTCTGCCCATTGCTGTGGTGAGTGTTCCATTGATCGGAAGTGCCTTGTCTTATTCTCTTTTCTCAATTTTACATTTTCCATAAACTTCCTACTCCCTTGTATCCTCATTTTCCAATTTCTTCCTTTATCTAACTCTTGCCTCTTACTTTAAGGTCATTGAATTCTTTCATTCCTCTTCCTTTCCATCTTTTTCATTTTTTTTTTCTCTAGTGAAGGATTCTTGATCTAAGAAATTGGAGCAATATTTGCCCTTTTTCCTCAGATTAAAACAGAATCCTCCCTAACTTTCTTAAAAAATATTACATCTGTGATAATTTCAGTAATTTTCAGAAACATGAAATGTAACTTAAAGGCTTTGATTGCACTGTATTATGATTTTTGTAGTAGTGGGAAACTGGTGACACTAGCAACAAGTGGGTAATGATAGTTGCAACTTTTTTTTAGTTATGTAACTTCCTTGGTCATCTCCCACCAAGGCAGGGTCACAGTTCAGATTATTGTATTTTTTGGTATATTAGGCACTTCCAGCCCCCCCCCCTTCCCTCACACACAAAAAAAAATGAAAATTACCCTATGCCTTGTATGCTCAAGGTCAGGAACAAGAGTATGCTTTGGGTTACTGGCAGATGGTAGTTTCAGTGCTGACTGGTTTATTAAACTTCAAGCACCTTTCCCTCCTGCAAAACTGTTTCCTCAGATTATTTTAGTAATTAGTAACCATTACCATTATCACAGTAACTGGTATATAATAAGCAGACCAGTTTCAGCAGTTGTAAATAATGGTAAAGTAGCCATCTGTAAATGACAGGTAGCCATGTTTGTTTTGGCAGCAATAGCCCAGGCAAGCTGTGCAAGGTTCTACCCTGTCTCAGCTACACTGTGCAGATGACCAGCCAGCTATATGCTCACTCATTTTGAAGAAAGCCTTGCATTTTCTTTTACTTTCCTCATAATTTGCCTGTTAAAATTGGGGTGCACCTTGTAGGAGTGTGCCTAATATGCTGGGAAATGTGGGACCCTCCAACTGCAACATCTTTTTAGATTCAAAACATTCAATATCCAAAGGCTTGAAAGATCCTTAAAAAAAAAAAAAAAAAAAAAAAAAAAATCAGCCCTCGTTCTCTTTAATTTCATTTTTCATCAATCATTCTTTTGTTCCTTTTAGTCCTCCATTTTTTTTTTTATTTCCAGTTGCTATTTAACAAGTTTTTATCGCTCATTTTTCCTCCTCCAGGCAGTTGTGTTAGGGACCTACAAGTGTACCACTTGTTTCCCCATCACCTCAGAATGAGCATCACTTGCTTGCCTAAAGGGACTTTGCCTGCATGTAGCAATCAGTTACTACTACATCCACTTCCTTTTGCATAATCTGCTACTTTAGCTGCACTTTTGTGTTTTTTATTCCAGTTGTCAGAAAACTGGATCATGTTAAAAGTTTTCTTTGCAGATACTATTGTCTGCCTGTTTTACTTGTCTTAAAGCTCTGTCCATCTCAGAAGCATAATTGACACAACAAATGGCACATAAAAAGGTGCGTCTTCATAAAGCACCATCTCTACTTGTGTGTGTTCCTAATCAAGGCAATATTACCTAACCCAGAGTAGTGCCTCAAATATGTAAGTCATGGGATAACATCCAACTAATTACTTTTGTAAATATAGTATAACAAATGAAAAAGCAAAGAAATTGACCAGTGATAATAAATATGCTATGACAAATATAATTGCACTTAGTCTTGTTTATAAAAACTTCACAGTATCAAAACAATGACTTGAACTGTGAAGGCAGTAATAATGGGCAGAGGGGGCAAGTAGTAGGTTGAGAGACTTATGCTAGAGCCTGGATGCTGGCTACCACTGATTGGTGATGGTCATGGCAGTGGTGAGGCTAGGCACATTACCTAGCCGGAAGTGAATTTGCAAGGAGGAGTTTTCCATAAGCATAAATGTTTCCTCAAACCTGCATGGGTCATTGATCACTGATGGCAGAGTACACAAATACCAGGTCACAACACTTTCAGTTACTCTGGCAACATCGTACCATTCAGCACATACCCTCTCATTTGAAGTTTGGATGATTGCTTCCTAAATGCCACTTCTACTATAGACAAGAAATGAACTCAAAAGAGATGGTACGTGTGTGCACACACAAGGCTTCAACAAAGCAAACACGCACATTTTGTGAACAGTGTAAAACACTGTGTATAAGAGCAGTGTTTCCAGGACTTCCACAGACTGCAACAGTTCTAGAACATGACCAGTGCCTGTAATATACATTATGTATATAAATGTTATAAGAGTAACAATGTGAAACATTTGGACCTGTGTTTACATAGTGTATACACGTTTTTGTCAACAGTGTACCAATGACTTATTAGCGTAGGTATTATGTTGTACTTAGTGGGTAGCCCTATGTACATTGTGCATAATAAGAGTCTCACAGGATACAAAAGTTGCTGGGAAATGTAAAAAATAAAAAATTAGAAAACCCCCAGAAAAATTTTAATGCCTAGTGCAAGGCATTCGCCACTGTAGCCTTCATATTTCAGTGTATTGATGGAAAAAATTTAATTACCAAAAATTTTTTTTGTAAATGCTGACATTGTAAGCACTTAATTTTGGGGCATCTGACAATGAAGGGGTTAAGAGAGTACGTTTGAGAAGACCAACAGGCTTGTCATCTAATTTAAAATATTTTGTAGATTAATAGCTTGAGTAGCATCACTAACCCAGACTATACATACCCCATTATGCTAGGTATGGAAAGTGATACTAACCCCTGCTGCTGCAATTGTTTGGTTGACTATAATTGCACAACACCTGGAGCTATAGTCCATAATCACTTCCACTCCCATTCTCATGCCACCGCTGTGTACACAGATGGCTCTAAGTCTTCAGACAGGCGTCGGATTCGCAGCAGTGTTTCCGGACAGCGTCGTGCGGGGGCATTTACTATCTTCGGCTAGCATTTTTACTGCTGAACTGTATGCCATTCTTGCAGCACTTATTCGTATCGCATCTATGCCTGTGTCATCATTTGTGGTAGTCTCAGATTCCCTTAGTGCTTTACAGGCTATACAAAAATTTGATACATCTCACCCCCTAGTTCTCCGTATCCAACTTTGGCTACGCCGTATCTCTACGAAGCATAAAGATATTATTTTTTGTTGGGTCCCTGGTCATGTTGACGTACAGGGCAATGAACAGGCAGACACTGCTGCGCGGTCAGCAGTACATGACCTACCAATTTCCTATAGAGGTGTTCCATTTCTGGACTATTTTGCTACAATAGCTGCCCACCTTCGCGCCTGTTGGCAACACCGTTGGTCAACTCTGCTTGGTAACAAACTTCATTCTATTAAACCGAGCATAGGTTACTGGCCGTCTTCTTGTCATCAGTGCCGTGGTTGGGAGACCACTCTCTCCCGTCTTCGCATTGGCCACACTCGTCTTACTCACGGGTATCTCATGGAGAGGCACCCTGTACCTCTCTGTGAGCAGTGTCAAGTTCCAGTATCGATTAGCCACATTCTGTTAGACTGCCCTCTCTATCAACGAGCACGCAGAATTTACCTCCAACGCGTTTCGTTCTACTACTCTCTCTTTACCTTCCCTTCTTGCTGATGGACCCTCCTTTAATCCTGACTCTCTCATTGACTTCTTGACAACGACTGATTTACTCCACAAACTCTGATGGTGATACCTTACGCACTCCCCTCAGCCCTTTCTAGCTCAGTCTCTTGCTGCCCTTTACCTTTTCACCATCCACTGCTCCGCTGTTATCCATAACCTATTACTCATCCACCTCCCTTTTGCCACCTGATGCCCTCGCTTCCTTCCTGCCCTGCAGCGCTGTATAGCCCTTGTGGCTTAGCGCTTCTTTTTGATTATAATAATAATAATATACAGATTTAGCACTTCTGAAGACAGTGTATTCATAACAGGGTAGTGACATCAGAACTTTTATTTTACTCAGTTCTGAGTATGGTGAAGGAAAAAACCCACACAAGTTTTTACATTATGTATTATTTACAATAAAATAACAAAATATCTCTGTACAGACGTCCTCCCTACAGAGTGGAATTTCGTTCAGTGCCAGATGAATGACAGGTGACTATTAATGCACATACCATGACATAAAAATTGAATACATACATAAATAAATGCACTGTTTTCTCCAGTAAGTCAGGACTGGACTAATGTGGTTTCACTGCCATGTTAGTACATTAAATGTGTTACCACGAAACAAATTCGAGCATAATGTAAGAGTATTATCTCTTAAGTCGTTTAGTAACACTTCCATAATAAACTGATTTTCTACAACCTAAGCTGTTGTTTCAAAGAGTTCTCTTGGTAAAATAGTACTTATCACTGTACATAAAAGGCCCCTCTGTTAACAGGAAAAAGCACCCAACTCATAGGGTTCATATAGAGCATGAGGAATGCAAAGCAAACTGGTTCCATTCAAAGGAAAGAACAGGTTCACTTCCATGGATGAGGAGCCCCTTGCTGGCATCAAAGGCATCTCCCTTTATGCCTTGATACTGGTAAGAGGCTCCTGTTCCAAGGAATCTGACCTGATTGCCCTTCCCCATTTTCCTGGGCACCTGTATAACTCCTGTGGATTTTGTGCTTCCTTGATAATGTGCAGAATGCAAGGATTGCCAATAGTTGAATCTGATGTCCTTAGGATTCCTTCCGAACAAATTAAGACATGCTATTGTCATATCCCTAAGGAGTTCTTGATGTTGTGGGCTCTTGATTTAGGAATTGATCTATGCTCCAGTTCCAAAATTAAGCGAATGCTTCCACATACCCCAGGGCTGTATAATCCTCGGGTTAGCGCTTCCCTTAGATGTAAATAATCATATTAATAATATTGTCATATCATGCACATTAGAATACTGTAGTGAAAATAATAAACTAAGAGTACTAGCATGAAGCTGAAACCACAAAAGTCAAATCATGCTATTGTTCAAAATATGGCAGTTCTGCATAAATTAGTTTCATTATGGAACTAAAATGTTATGCATCCCAGTAATTAAAACAAAAAATACTTGAATAATTTGATCTGACTATTACTTGCAGGGCTTGAACACATTCAACAAAAGTGGCTGATTATAACCACATTATTGTATCAAATAAAATATAAAGTACCCATATTTAATACATGCAGAAAATGCATGACAAGACAAAAATTATAATAGGTTATTTTCTAAATCCCAAGTCAATGTAGTTCTAGTTCTGTTCTAATTTGATGGAAATGTAACAAGCACCTGGGTCATCTTTACTGAATGCTCTCAAGGTAAAATGCAGCGCTGAAGTCTGTGGCTAGCTTCTTTTGATATATAATAATAATCAAGGTAAAAACTAATGTTTATTGTATTTGCTGCTTTAGTCACAAAAAGCAACAAATTGTTATGCACTTTTAATACATCATTGAAGGATGCCCATCAGTAACAAATCAGTCCTAATAAAAATAAAACTATGAGAATTAAGTTCTTAAGATGCATTCTGTGCATAAAGACCCAAATGAAAACTTGTTTGCCATCTGGATATGGTGAGGAGGTAGAGATATCTAAGCTCTTGAGATCAGCATTTGTGTACTCTTAACAAAATGTTTCTGTAATGTAGACCTGAATATTTTTTGGTAAAGAACTAAACTAAATAGTCAGGATGCAATACATAATTACTAAAGTATATATAAAAAAATTTTAAGAGTACCCACTGGGCAATGAGAAAAACTATACTAGGAAAATGTAACTTGACTTTTTATATAATCCTTTGTTGTACACTTCTTATTGCTGTTCCTTGACGAAGTCTGATGAATATAACGGAATAACTTGTACGCTTACACCAGCAGTAGATCAACTAAACTATAGCCTGTATTGCTTACTGCTGATAACAGCTAAACACAAAGATAACTGCACATGCCACTGCACTTCTGTTAAATTATAGAACATCAAGAGCATAAGCATGTGATATCCACTTGATACAAAAAGTATAACACTGGAGTACAGCCTGTAACGTAGGCAATCATCACCAGCTGAACATCAAGAAAAAGTCTGTGGTGTAATCTACCTGCAGCAGAATACCTAGGGTAAGAGGTCAACTTGTTGGGCTACATTATGCATCCAAAACATGACAATTATAATGAGTACCATATACCAAAGACGATCACTTTCCCACAATGATAAAAGAAACACACACATGGACAAAACAGAACACATGACAAATGTAATGATTAAGATGATTCTATCAATACTTTCTTCACTCTCGAAAAAGGATACATATACAGCATAATTGTGATACATGACACATTCATACTAAGATGGTGTACATACATTTCTTCAGTAAAATACACAAAAGATAATTTGTAAAATAAAGAATAGCAAATAGATTTTATGCCTGGACGGCCAAGTTTTGATTAGAGAGACCAAGGTAACTTTTGATATCACCTATCACAGCAACAAAAATGAAAGAGTGCATGCATTGCTTGAGTATCAAATTTCTGTACTGAACTCATTATTAAATTTAAAAATTTAATGTTTTCTTCAGAATTAAGAATGAACATTGTATCCTTTACAGAAAGTTGTAAGCCAATTAAACCAAAACTACCATAAAATAGTAGCATTAGTAAAGCAAAATAAGTGATTAAATATGCTCTCAAGCTTCAATACAACTACTGTACATTAATAAATAAAAGTGAGTGAGTGAGTAATGCTACACAGGTCCAGTCTCATGGCACACAAGTTTTGCACCGTGGGTGTCCACATTTTCCCCTTCCTCCTTGTGGCCTATGATGATGGCTTTCAGAAGCATACTTTTTTTTTCAGATTCTTAACTTGATATCTCCACTGAAATACAATAAATTGAGGAAACCTGCAGATTCATCAACAGCTGTATGACCCTTGTGGGTTTAGCACTTATGATTATAATAATCAACAGACTTACAGGGGATATTATCATAATCCTCCTACCTAATGACTACCCACATTTTTCCCTCAATTTCATGCCTCTTTTTAACTCTTAGACACTGCTTTTATAAAACAGTTATACGTCTCTCTAAATGGAGAAGCACTGATATTAACTGGTCCAAGTTCATTTACTGTACGCTTTAAACTATAATATTTTATAAAAATTTTCATGTTTATATCTTACAATCACTTGATTCACTTTTAGTGAATATCGTAAATATTTAACAATATACATACATTTTTTGTGAAGTATCAAAACTCGTGAGCCACTTCCTTGATGCTATACATACAGTATACTGTACTCTCTCTCAGCATGAAAAAATTACTTAATTTTACCTTCCACTCTGATTATGATTTAATCTTAATATTTTTGCTGCAATACCCTTCATAATCTGCCTTCATTATTGTTGAATATGGCATCAGAGCCACCAATAAAAGTGACCCTTGGCATTTATCACAAAGTGATGGTGCCTACAGTCTCTAGTAAAATCCAAGACACTCCTTGATTCAGATTCACTAGCTTCTGCCCAGGGACTGAGCTATACTTTGTGTGAATTAAGCTAGCGAGCCAAGGAACATGATGAAAGCTGGCAACATGTAAATAGTGATGGCACGATTGAGGGACATGGTTTTTTTGGCAGCAGCAGATGGTGGCTGGTCTGGTTCATGTTTGGGACCACTGTGTTCAGTCGGTTCACGGGGAATGCTTGGAGGTTCATAAGGTTCGTAGGGAAATTCTTGGTTGAAATTAGGAGCTTGAGCTTTTCCATAGTTACCAGACCCTTCTAAATCACCATCCATCCCATTCCAATTTCCACCAGAGCCTTCATATCTATAATCATAGTCAGTATGAGTATTCCCAGATCCAGCATGACTGCTTCCTTGACCTGGTTGATTGAACTGATACCTGTCTTCATCATCATCATATTCATGGTTATTGCTTTGCTTTTTAGAATGTGATTTGTCCTTGCTTTCACCATATGCGTCTTCATCATCAGGTGGATAATTACCATGGAGTGATCCATCACCACTGCCACTACCCTCATCACCCAAGGCTCCATCATCACTTACTGCCTCCTCATCTTGTTTTCCACCATTGGTCAGCCATGACTCTGCAGGAGGCAATACAATGATTTTTAAATTAAAAGCATGTATTAATGAATAAATAAAAAAATTTAATTATCTTTAACCCCATGTACTATGATAATTTTCTGCTCTTCATAGGTAATTGTGATATACTGTAGAATTATTATTACAATCTTTAGTGCTAGTTATAATTATTACAACCAAAACTAAATGCTAAGTTATGATATATCAAAGATAAAAAATCAAAACTAATTCTAGTCTTGTCAGCAGCACTGTACGACCCTTGGGGGTTTAGCGGTTAGTTTTGATTAATAATAATAATCTAGTCTTAACAATGTTGAAAGTTCAGTATCCTTTGGTATGGCCCTGGCATACCTAAGGATACTGTAAAAATAAAGTATTAAACATTTTCCCTACATTTAATGGATAGTTTTAATCATCAGGCGCTGTATAGTCCTTGTGGCTTAGCGCTTCTTTTTTTTATTATAATAATAATTTAATCATCAGCTGAACTAGCAGCACTATTTTATTGCATAATATAATCATATTCATACCAAAACAATAACTATTTAGAACGCAAGCATTTACCTTCATCTATCCAAGACACATCTCGACCCTTGTAAGCCTCTTGCAGTTTGCTGGTAATTACTTTCAGTCGCATAATTTGCTCATCCATAGCAGAACTGTGTTGTGGCTCGGTAGCATTCAAGGTACTCTTGCCCTCGTATCTGAAAACAGAGTTGGTTTGACATGCTGTTGTCAGAAATTATAACTGCACAGTCACCCTCACAAATTCTCATGCTTCTGTATTTGAGAATTTTGATTATCCAATGCTATCAGATTCAACTACTCAAAATTTTTTTTGATTCGGTGGCATTCCCATACCAAAATATATTGGTCTTTCTTCTTTCAACAAGCTAGCCATATCCCACCGAGGCAGGGTGGCCAAAAGGAAAAACTCAAGTTTCTCCTTTTAAATTTAGTAATATGTACAGGAGAAGGGGTTATTAGCCCCTTGCTCTCAGCAGTTTAGTAGTCTCTTATGACGCATGGCTTACTGAGGAATTCTGTTCCACTTCCCCATGGAGAAAAAAAAAAAAAAAATATATTGATATATTACAGAAATATAGTCTCTGCAACAGAAAATTAACCCAAATCTGATTTTTTTTTTTTTTTTTTTTTTTTTTTTTTTTTTTTTTTTTTTTTTAACACAGACGCCATTTTCTACCAAAGCAGGAGCTGTATAGCCCTTGTGGCTTAGCGCTTCTTTCTTGATTATAATAATAATAATACCAAAGCAGGATGACCTCTATGAAAAATACAGACTAACATCACTTATTCAATAGCTGTCTTACCATAAGTGCAGAGACATTACAATTCACATGACCTTCCAAACTGCAACATCTCTAGAGTGCAGGCACTTCCTACCTCCAGGACTCAAGTTTGGCTACCTGGTCTCCTGAGTCCCTTCGTAACAAAAAAAAAAAAAAAAAAAAAAAAAAAAAAAAAGGCACAATACCCTGACTGGAACGATACACAAATAACCAGCACATAGAAGAGAGGAGCTTAGCGCTTCTTTTTGATTATAATAATAATAATAGAAGAGAGGAGCTTATGACGACGTTTCGGTCCGACTTGGACCATTTACAAAATCACACTAATGAAAAGGAGAGGAGGGAGTATACATAGGCCAGGAGGTAGTGCCAGTCCAATGCCAAGAAAGAGGAGCACTTCAAGGGAGCTAGGGGCCCACAGAGGGGGGAAAAATAAATAATGAAGGAACAAATACCCAAGGCAGAAGAAGAAAAAGGAATCAAGTTAAGTCACAGGTTTTCTGAAGTTTGGAGCATTTTACAATGTAGTGGGAAAGGAAGGCATCTACAGAGATGAAGCCAGGACTAAGATTCATACAAGGAAAGTTATGTATAAGGGAGCTGTATAGCCCTTGTGGCTTAGCGCTTCTTTTTGATTATAATAATATGTATAAGGGAGGATTCAAACAGACGGCGACTGTTAAAGTTGGAAATAGGGAAGACAGTTTTAGCAGAAGACCAGTCAGTAGGATGACTGTGATCTCTGACGTGGCAGAAAAGAGCATTGTTAGTGTTGGCAAACCTAACACTACTTTTGTGCTCCCTAAGTCTGTCAGTCTGTCTGCTCACACTCCAACATCATGTAAAGCCATAAAAACCATTTGTCTCCACTCCAATTTAATACACAAACCTTCTGTACCCTCTTCCTCCAATCTTTCCAAGCACAACCTCTACCCCTCTTTCTTCCACCCAAAATTTATACATCTTTATAAATGCCCAAATCACCACCACCTCAACCCTCAGACATATGCTTTTGCTAATGCCACAGTCTTCTAATTTCTGCACTCTGAATACTCTGCATATTATTCATCCCCATACACTGCTTTCAAACATGTTTGTACTGCCTCCAGCCGCCTCCTTGCTGCAATGTTGAAACCCATAAAAGTATTGGTACCATTATACTTTGGTACCCCCTCAAGGAAGGTTCCTTGATGTTGGTGAGGGGCTCTTGATTTAGGGAATTGGATCTGTGCTCCAGTTCCCCGAATTAAGCCTGAATGCCTTCCACATCCCCCCCCCCAGGCGCTGTATAATCCTCCGGGTTTAGCGCTTCCCCCTTGATTATAATAATAATAATATACTTTGGTACATTCCCCCCCCCCCCTCTTTTTTCTCTCAGATAAATTTTTCTTTCCACAGGTGCCTCGACACATCATTTACTTTTTTTTTTTTTTTTTTTTTTTTTCTTCACTATTTTATGGGTCACCTTGTCTTCCATAGACCCACCTGCACACTTCCTCCTGAATATCTATATACAATAACCTCTCCCGTACTCCAATCTGATACCCAATCTTTCATTACCTCAAATTTTATTACTCATCAGTTTACTTTTTTCTATGCTCACTTTAACCCTTTGAGGGTCCGTCCCGTAGTTCTACAGCTTTGAAGTCAGGGTCCAAGCCGTAGTTCTATGCTATGAGCTCAGCTCACTCAGATAAGGTGTGAGCAGTAAATATGGGCCTAGATATGAGAGAATACATGTATGTGGTAAGTGTGCACCACAAAAATCCTGCAGCATGCAGTGCATAGATGAGAAAAAAACTGCGACCGATATTTGGATTAAAACGGCGACTTTGCAGTGTTTTTTTCGTACGTTTTTACAATTGTATTCAGTTTCTTCATCCCATTTGATAGAATGGAATATATATTACAGAAAAAGATGATTTTAGTAGTGAAAATGGCTTGAAACTGAGCTCAAAGTAGCGGAAGTGTTCGATTTTTGGTGGATCTAATGTGTGTTCACAAATGTGCTGATATTTTTTATACAATTATTACAATACTGCACCCCTCAAGGAAGGTTCCTTGATGTTGGTGAGGGGCTCTTGATTTAGGGAATTGGATCTGTGCTCCAGTTCCCTGAATTAAGCCTGAATGCCTTCCACATCCCCCCCCCCCCCAGGTGCTGTATAATCCTCCGGGTTTAGCGCTTCCCCCTTGATTATAATAATAATACAATACTGCATAACAGTAAATCTTTTATTTTTGGTATGAATAAAAAAGCATTGTGAATAAAAAATCAAAATAGAATTTATTTGTAAAGCCTAGAAACATAACTAATAAATAGAGGAAATGTTATTTTAGTGCCAGGAATGCCTGCATTGCTTATTCTGGACCTTATTTTCAAATTGGAATATTTTGAACTTTGTGTGAAATTGGTCAAATTACCAATCTCTGATCATTTTATTGGGTAGTTGAAACAGTTGACTGGGTGATTTCTTGTGCTCAGTTCATTAAAATAGAAGTAATACTAGTGAAATAGCTAAGAATTTGTTCACTGGAATGTAATTTGGCCTAAAATGGGAGTCAAATTGGGAAAAACCACCGATGCGTAAATATCGCTGACGCAGCAAAATTCACGAGAGCGTAATTTTGTCAATTTTTCCATCAAATTTAGTACTTTTTGTTTTATTGCCTTCAGAAAAAGTTTCTCTACCATTTCATAAGAAAAAAGAAAATTTTTTTTTCAAAATTCTTGGACCCTGTGGACAAGTTTCAGGTTGGAGGTCTGGACTCTCCTTTTACTATACATCCTATGAAATTCCTCCTCAACCTTTGCAACTCCTCTTCAAAATCTCCCAACAACTGCCACCAGCAAGGAGCACCTGTGACAACTAACACTCAGATTCTTAATCTTTTAATCCCACACACATCTCATTATACCAAATTTCTCACCTACTACCTTTTTACATCTTCATTCCATCAATCATTCCTTGTGCACCTTCCTATAACCACACACTTCTGCTGTTCATTCTAAAACCATTTTTAAACCTACCCTATACCTCTTCAACTTCATCATTACCTATACTTTCTCTACTCTACCTTTTTTACTAACAGCTGCTTATATCTCCTCTCACTGTCTCCTCTTTTATCCACTGATGCCACTCTTCTTTTATTCTATTTGCTTTTTACTGATCTGACATATCAAGTCACTCCTAAAAAAATTTGCATATCCAAAAGTCTACCCATCAAATTTTTATACCACAATTCATAGTGTAGCACCATTGTCATTGACAACCCCAACATATCTCGAACTTATTTATCCCCTTTTATTTTTCTTAAAATATGTGTGATGTCACCGTGGTTGTTTAATATATTTATAGATGGGGTTGTAAGAGAAGTAAATGCGAGGATCTTGGCAAGAGGCGTGGAGTTAAAAGATAAAGAATCACACACAAAGTGGGAGTTGTCACAGCTGCTCTTTGCTGATGACACTGTGCTCTTGGGAGATTCTGAAGAGAAGTTGCAGAGATTGGTGGATGAATTTGGTAGGGTGTGCAAAAGAAGAAAAGTAAAGGTGAATACAGGAAAGAGTAAGGTTATGAGGATAACAAAAAGATTAGGTGATGAAAGATTGGATATCAGATTGGAGGGAGAGAGTATGGAGGAGGTGAACGTATTCAGATATTTGGGAGTGGACGTGTCAGCGGATGGGTCTATGAAAGATGAAGTGAATCATAGAATTGATGAGGGAAAAAGAGTGAGTGGTGCACTTAAGAGTCTGTGGAGACAAAGAACTTTGTCCTTGGAGGCAAAGAGGGGAATGTATGAGAGCATAGTTTTACCAACGCTCTTATGTGGGTGATGAATGTTGCAGCGAGGAGAAGGCTGGAGGCAGTGGAGATGTCATGTCTGAGGGCAATGTGTGGTGTGAATATAATGCAGAGAATTTGTAGTTTGGAAGTTAGGAGGAGGTGCGGGATTACCAAAACTGTTGTCCAGAGGGCTGAGGAAGGGTTGTTGAGGTGGTTCGGACATGTAGAGAGAATGGAGCGAAACAGAATGACTTCAAGAGTGTATCAGTCTGTAGTGGAAGGAAGGCGGGGTAGGGGTCGGCCTAGGAAAGGTTGGAGGGAGGGGGTAAAGGAGGTTTTGTGTGTGAGGGGCTTGGACTTCCAGCAGGCATGCATGAGCGTGTTTGATAGGAGTGAATGGAGACAAATGGTTTTTAATACTTGACGTGCTGTTGGAGTGAGAGCAAAGTAACATTTATGAAGGGATTCAGGGAAACCGGCAGGTCGGACTTGAGTCCTGGAGATGGGAAGTACAGTGCCTGCACTCTGAAGGAGGGGTGTTAATGTTGCAGTTTAAAAACTGTAGTGTAAAGCACCCTTCTGGCAAGACAGTGATGGAGTGAATGATGGTGAAAGATTTTCTTTTTCGGGCCACCCTGCCTTGGTGGGAATCGGCCAGTATGATAATAAATAAATAAATGTATTACCTACTACCAAGCCATGAATAAAAGATAATGGGTCCCCCATTATCTTTAATTCATGGTACTCACAACTTGCATACTGTCCCCTATACAAAAGGCTTTCCCATTTTATCATTTGTTACCCACAACAAATGTTCTTTCACTTGGTTTAGAATACTCTAAATGTTTGTTTAACACCTCCCAAAATCAATCAATTTATATCTATCTCTAGCTCTGTCTCTATCTCTCTCTCTCTCTCTCTGACACAAGTACATAAACACTTACTATAACCCACTTCTCACATCCCACTTTTCCTCTAAAGCCACACAATTCTTGAATTTACATTTAAATCATCACCCCATTTACTCCTCATTGGAATTCTTCTACTGCTTGAGCTATGTTTTGCTTAATGCTAGGACATTCGGCTTCTTTTCTTTCATAACATTAACAATCAAATCTTTATCTGTACTCTATACCCGCACATTCAAACAATCAAACTTCTAAATTTCCTTCTTTGTCTTTTTAGTAACTAATACATCTTCTTCTTTTAACAAACTGGCCGTATCCCACCAAGGCAGGGTGGCCCAAAAAGAAAAAGAAAAGTTTCTCTTTTTAACTTTAGTAATGTATACAGAAGGGCATGTTAGTTGCCTCTTACAAAATGCATGGCTTACGGAGGAAGAATTCTGTTCCACTTCCCCATGGAGGTAAATAATACATATATTTAAATTTAAGCCACCTTTCTTTTGTCTTGTGGCACCAAGTTTGAAGAATGAGCATGAAGTACTTGGGGCACAAAGAGAAACAGAATGAAAAAGTAACATATACGCACTTGCCAAGCTTTATGCCTGTCCAGCAACTCAAGGCACCATTGCGATCAGCATCTCGGCACATCTTGGTCGGTAGTTCGCTCCAGAACTCACGTGCATTCTTGATCTGTTAAGTTATTGGCTTAGTGTAGCAAAAAGTAATTTGGGGGGAGGGGGCAAACTAAATAAGGCGAGCATGGACAGCAACAAAAAGATCTTTATAATGTAGTGCACCTACTGATACGTGTGAATATAGAGGAATTATTGGCAGGAAACTGTAAATATTGTAGCTAACTACAATGTGGTTATTTCAAGCATCAGCGAAAATACTTTTATCATAACGAGGAGGCTTGGATTTTTCTTTTGATTCTAAACACAGCCACAGGTCTGTTAATACGTTACACAGCTAATAGTAAACAAAAATTATATCACAATTACATATTTTCCTAAACTCATTTGGAAACAACCTCAATGTGCTTTCAGTTTGTCAATTTCAAACATTTCCTTTGCTATAAAAATGAAAGGACAAAAAAAAAAAAAGCATTTAGTATACTAGTTTCTTTACACTGCAGCAACATATCTGTCTGATTATAAACTTTCTTGGAATTAAACTAAGAATAAAGCCCATATTGTTACTCACTCACCTTTGTTTTTATTTCATGGATATATTTACTGACAGAAATGTTCTCTAACTCCTTATCACGTTTCTTGTCTTGTCGATTGTCTGTACTAAAATCTAAAAATTCTTGTGTAAGTTCTCCTTTTGCTGGAGCCTGCCTCTTACTGCGCCCTAGACGGGGTGGTCCACAACCTTGAAACACCTGATAGGTTTCAAACATTTAGTAAGATCAACAATGTATATTACATATACTGTACATAAACAAAACATATTTAATGGAAAGGCTTCGTGAGAGAGATACAGAGAAAACACGTTAGATCTAGTGTTTCAATAATAGCAACTTATCTTATCCAGTTACTATTAATTTTGGCATCTGCCATTCAAAACATGACCTGGTATGATGATGCCAGGTCATGATGATGATTATTTTGCTATTTGGCATGATGATGATTATTTTGCTATTTGGCATGATGATGATTATTTTGCTAAACTTTTTGTATTTCATTACAAAAATAATTTAAATATCCCTAATATTATTGCATAAATTGAAATACTTGGAATTTTAATGTTTTATAAGTTTGGTAGCTTTGCACATTTCTAATTTACTAAAAATGTTCTGCACTAGGAAAATACAAAGTTAAGTTTCTTTGTATTATTTATGGCTAATAAAGAACTGGTATGTGCTTTAGGAAGCATTACAACTGTCCCTACAAATCTGCTGTAGGTTATGTTCCTAGAGGTCCAGCAAAACTGGACTCATTTAGTGTGTCAGAGCTTATCTCCAGAATACAGTATAGCCTCTCACTGCTTAGCGACGTACTCGTTTACCAACAACTACGTACCTAAATAATGTATATTAGAGCTGATTTCCTCTACTCTGTTTATTACAATATACAGTACACTACTGTATAAACATTTAAAAATATACTAGAAATGTTATAAATGGTGCAAAGGTGACATTAAAACAACATCAAACATGTAAAGTAAAAGGACACAAGTGCAACTAATGTGACATTTTATTGTGGCAACGTTTTGCTCTCCGGGAGCTTTGTCAAGCTCCTGGAGAGCGAAACGTTGCCACAATAAAATGTCACATTAGTTGCACTTGTGTCCTTTTACTTTACCTATTGTCGGTAATTCTACCAACTTTATTACAACATCAAACATGGCTGACACAAGCCAGGAGAGGCTGTATATCATTAGGCTATTTAATATCAAGTGTTACATTTATAAGAAAGAACTACTAGAATAAAAAAAGATATTTGGCTATTGGAAAGGCACTGAACATAATTTGAACAAATGTTTAGTTAACTTTCAATTTAGAGGTTCTGCACAAAGCCTGAAAAAAAAAAAGGGCATTGCCAGAACACAAGCATAATCACTGAATAATTGAGGCGCATAATTAACCCTTTCACTGTCGGTCCCATAATATTTCGGCTTGCAAGCCAGTGTTGGTCTTGTAATACTACGCCAAAATTCTAGTGGCTTCCAATCTTGCGGGAGAAAGCTGGTAGGCCTACATATGAGAGAATGGGTCTGAGTAGTCAGTATGCGCAGTAAAAAAAAATCCTGCAGCACACAGTGCATAATGAGAAAAAAAAACTTCAACCATGTTTTTGGTTTATAACAGCAATTATGTGGTATATTTTCATATGGTATTTATGGTTGTATTCTCATTTTCTTGGTCTCATTTGATAGAATGGAAGATATATACAGTGGACCCCCGCATAACGGACGCCTTGTATAGCGGACAATCCGCATAGCGGACGCTTTGATCGCTAAAATTTTGCCCTGCATAGCGCCCAAAAACCCGCTCAGCGGCCTTCGTCCGAGACGCGTCCAATGTGCGGCCTGAGCCACGCTCACATGTTCCACGGGTGGCATTGTTTACCAGCCAGCCTCCGCGGTAACTCAAGCATACATCGGAATATTTTGTATTTTACAGTGTTTTTGGTATTTTTTCTGAAAAATAAGTGACCATGGGCCCCAAGAAGCTTCTAGTGCAACCCTACAGCAATAAGGGTGAGAATACTATGGAGATTGAAGAAAAAGATCATTGATAAGTTGAAAGTGCTGTGCGTGTCTCCGATTGCCAGGTTTATAAAAACCCCAATAAACCATCTACATATTGTGGTACAGTGCTGCTGCTGTGTATCACCGTCAGCTGCTTAGCACTGTCAGTGCTGTGCTGTACCACCGTCAGCTGCTCCTGCTGCTGTAGTACGTCTGCTGCTAGCTGTTAGCTCATCTCTGCTGCTGTCATCGTCTGCTGCTGCTGTAGCATCGTCTGTTGTGCTGTCGAGCTGTCTGTTGCTGCTGTACCACCGTCAAGCTGCTGCTGCATGCTGTAGCATCGTTGCTGCTGCTGTAAACATCGTCGTCTATGCTGTAGCATCAGTTGCTGTGCTGTAGCATCGTCTGTTGCTGCTGTACCACCGTCAGCTGCTGCTGCTGCTTAGACATCGTCTGTTGCTGCTGTACCACCGTCAGCTGCTGCTGCTGCTGTAGCATCGTCTGCTGCTGCTGTAACATCGTCAGTTGCACTATGTAGCATCGTTGCTGCTGCTGTAGCAACGTCTTGCTGCTGCTGTAGCAATCGTCTGTTGCTGCTGTAGCATCGTCTGTGCTGCTGCTGTTTAGCTATGTCGGTATGCTGCCTGTATACATCGTCAGCATGCTGCTGCTGCTGCTGTAGCACCGTTGTTTGTGGCTTATTAGAATACAAGAACAATTAACCAGAGGATTTGCCACCCAGGATAGCCAAAAAAGTCAGTGTCATCGTAGACTGTCTAACTTATTTCCATTGGGTCCTTAATCTTGTCTCCCAGGATGCAACCCACACAGTCGATAAACAACAGGTGAACAGGAAAAGCTGGAACTAGTGATCATATTGGTGAATTAGAGCCCAGCAAAGGTGGTTTGAGAGATTTAAGAATCGTAGTGACATACACAGGTGATAAGGCCTGTTCTGGAGAAAATACCAAAACAGGACCTCATACTCAGGAGGAAAAGCATCCAGGACACAGTGTCTCATCAAGTCATTGCTGCATTTCAATAAAGGTAAGTCATTTATTCTCATTTAGTAGAGTAGTACATGCACAATATATATTGTGCATGTACTACTCTACTATTGTGCATGTATCCTTCTCTTTGTGTGTAGGAAAATGTATATTTCATGTGGTAAAATTTTTTTTTTTCAAACTTTTGGGTGTCTTGCACGGATTAATTTGATTTCCATTATTTCTTATGGGGAAAATTCATTCACATAGCGAACATTTCGCATAACAGCCAGCCCTCTTGCACGGATTAAGGTCGCTATGCGGGGGTCCACTGTATTACAGAAATAGAGATGATTATGAATGGTTTATGGACTAAAAGTACCTTGAAATCGAGTTCAAACCAGCGGAAATGTATGTTCGATTTTTGCTGATATTCAGCAGTAAACAAATCATGTCATGCATCCAATACATGTCAACTGGTGGGTCTAATATGTTTCACAAATGCGTTGATATTATTTATACCATTTTTACAATAATACAGTAGTCTGATTAACAGTAAATCTATTTTTTGTGTGAATAAAAATTCAAAATGGAAAGCAAGCATAAGTGAGGGGCCTGGAGGTGTGACTAATGAAGAGAGAAAATGTTATTTTAGTGCTAGGAATGTCTGCATTGTTAACTCTTTCAGGGTTTCGGCCGTACTAGTACGGCTTACGCACCAGGGTCCATGACGTACTAGTACTCATAAATTTTAGCGCCTTCAAATCTAGTGAGAGAAAGCTGGTAGGCCTACATATGAAAGAATGGGTCTATGTGGTCAGTGTGCGCAGTATAAAAAAAAATCCTGCAGCACAGAGTGAGTAATGAGAAAAAAAACTTTGACCGTGTTTTTGGATTAAAACAGCAACTTTGCACTATATTTTCGTATGGTATTTATTGTTGTATTCTAGTTTTCCTGGTCTCATTGTATAGAATGGAAGACACATTACAGAAATTGAGATGATTTTGACTGGTTTTACAATGAAAAGTACCTTGAAATTGAGCTCAAAGTAGCAGAAATGTTAGATTTTTACCAAAGTTCAAAAGTAAAAGAATCATGCTAAGCGTCCAATACACGTCAACTGGTGAGTCTAATATTCTTTCACAAGTGCGCCGATATTATTTATACCATTTCTACACTAATGCAGTAGTGTGCATAACAGTAAATCTTCTATTTTTTGTGAAAATAAAAATTCAAAGTGGAAAGTAAATGTAAGAGGGGCCTGGGACATGACTAATGAACAGAGGAAATGTTATTTTAGTGCCAGGAATGTCTTTCTTGTTTATTCTCGACCCTATTTGGAAATTGGCATCTTTTGAAATTTGTGTGAAATTGGCAAAATTGCTAAATTCTGACCACTGTATTGGATAGTTGAAATCGGTAAATTGGTGGTTTCTTGTACTCATTTGATAGAAAAAATGGAGTTCTAGCGAAATAGTTATGATTTTTGTCGACTAGTACATTGGAATTGGCCGAAAATAGGGCTCAAAGTGGGCAAAATCGCCAATGCGTAAACATCATCAAGACTGCTAACTTCGCAAGAGCATAATTCCGTAAGTTTTCCATCAAATTTCATACTTTTGGTGACATTATGATCGGGAAAAGATTCTCTATCTTTTTATAAGAAAAAATATTTTTTTTTTTTTGAAATTTGGGGGACCCTGAGAACAAGTCTCTGAGAGGGCCTGTGGACCCTGAAAGGGCTAATTCTGGACTATTTTGAAACTGGCCTTCCTTGAACTGTGTATGAAATTGGCCAAATTACCAGTTTCAGATCACTTTAGTGGGTAGTTGAAACAGTTGACTGGACAATTTCTTGTGCTCAATCGATAAAATTAGAAGTAATACTAGCGAAATAGCTACGAGTTTGGTTGACTGGAACAAATGAATTGGCCAAAAATAGGGCTCAAAGTTGGTGAAATAGCCAATGTGTAAATAGCACTGAGACTGCTAAATTCGTGAGTGTAATTCCGTAAGTTTTTCATCAAATTTCGTACTTTTGGTTTCATTACCATAGGAAAAAGATTCTCTATTATTTCATAAGAATTTTTTTTTTTTTTAAATTCTTTGACACTGAGAGCAAGTTTATGAGCATGGGGTCTTGACAACAAAAGGGTTAAGGAAGCCCATAAATTTATAGGCAACAATATATGCAAGATAATCAGTATCAAGAAAAAAAAAATTCAATACATCAAAGATTTTAAGCAAGAGGAAAGTTCTGTAAAAAGAATACAGACTGTTTCATTGTGTCCAGAAATTGCTATCCCATATCTGCTTTGGTGAAACATGACCAATTGGTAATTAAAATAATATTCAGTTAATTATTTTTATATTAACCCTTTGACTGTCGCGGCCGTATATATACGTCTTACGAGGTACCGTGTTTGACGTATATATACTCATAAATTTTAGCGGCTTCAAATCAAGCAGGAGAAAGCTGGTAGGCCCACATGTGAGAGAATGGGTCTGTGTGATCAGTGTGCACCATATAAAAAAAATCCTGGAGCACGTAGTGCATAATGAGAAAAAAAAAACGACCGATTTTTTTAATTAAAATGCCGACTTTGTGGTCTATTTTCGTATAGTATTTATGGTTGTATTCTCGTTTTCTTGGTCTCATTTGATAGAATGGAAAACATATTATAGAAATAGAGGTGATTTTGATTGATTTTACTATAAAAAGAACCTAGAAATGGAGCTCAAAGTAGGGGAAATGTTTGATTTTTGCCAATGTTCAAAAGTAAACAAATGATGCCATTGTCCAATAAATGTCCAACTAGCCATTCTAATATGCAGTCATGAATGGGTTGATGTTATTTATACAATTATTACAGTATTGCAGTAGTCTGCATAATAGTAAGTCTTCTATTTTTTGTTTGAATAAAAATTCAAAATAGAAAGCAAGAGTAATATCAGAGGGGCCTGGAGACATGACTGATGAGCAAAGAAAATGTTATTTTAGAGCCAGGAATGTCTGCATTGTTCATTCTGGACCTTATTTTGAAATTGTCATATTTTTTAGTTTTCGTGAAATTGGCCAAATTGCAAATTTCTGACCACATTATTAGGTAGTTGAAATCGGTAAATGGGCATTTTCTTGTACTCAATCAATAGAAAAAATGGAGTTCTAAAGAAATAGCTATGAGTTTGGGCGACTGGAACAATGGAATTAGCCGAAAATAGGGCTCAAAGTGGGCGAAATCGCCGATTTGTAAACAGCGCCGAGGTCGCTAACTTCGCGAGAGCATAATTCCATCAGTTTTCCATCAAATTTCGTTTTTTTGGGGTCATTACAATCGGGAAAAGATTCTCTATCATTTCATAAGAAAAAATAATTTTTTTTTTTTTTAAATTTTGCGACACCAGGAGACACCGCAGGATTGGGGGTTGCGACAGTCAAAGGGTTAAATAAACTTGCCTTTCCTTCAGATTTTGCAAGATTTATAATAATAGTAAAAATTAAAGTTCTTAACCCTTTCACTGTCAGTATCGTATTAGTATGGCTTACGAGCCAGTGTTGGTGTTGTATAAATACACCAAAATTCTACCGGCTTCAAATCTAGCAGAGAAAGTTGGTAGACCTACATGTGAGAGAATGGGTCTGCATGGCCAGTGTGCACGAGAAAAAAACTCCGACCGTGTTTTTGGTGTAAGATGCCGACTTTGAGGTGTATTTTCATATAGTATTTATGGTTGTATTCTCCTTTTCTTGGATTCACTTGATGGAATGGAAGATATATTACAGAAATAGAATGAAAGATATATTACAGAAAAAACACCTTGAAATTGAGCTCAAAGTAGTGGAAATGTTCAATTTCTGCCGATGTTCAAGATAAACAAATGACATCACCATCCAATACATGTCCAACTAGCCAGTCTAATATGCAGTCACGAATAGGTTGACATTTATACAATTATTACAATAATGCAGTAGTCTGCATAACAGTAAATCTATTTTTTGTGTGAATAAAAATTCAAAATGGAAAGGAAGAGTAATATAAGAGGGGCCTGGAGATGTGACTAATGAACAGAGAAAATATTATTTTAGTGCCAGGAATGTCTGCATTGTTTATTCTTTTGAAATTTGTGTGAAATTGGCCAAATTGCCAATTTCTGACCACTTTATTGGGTAGCTGAAATTAGTAAATGGGCGGTTTCTTGTACTCAATCGATAGGACAAATGGAGTTCTAGTGAAATAGCTATGAGTTTGGTTGACTGGAACAATAGAATTGGCAGAAAATAGGGCTCAAAATAGGCGAAATTGCCAATGTCTATATATCGCCAAGGCAGTTAACTTTGCGAGAGTATAATTCCGTAAATTTTCCATCAAATTTCGTACTTTTGGTGTCATTACCACTGGAAAAAGGTTCTCCATCATTTCATATTAATTTTTTTTTTTTAAGTTCTTCGACACTGAGAGCAAGTTTGTGAGCAGGGGTCTCAACAGTGAAAGGGTTAAAAATAAAAGCAGCATCAGAAAACATCAGTGGCAAACATTTGGATAAAACTGTACATAAAACCACCTATTAAATAAGTGGGGGTTCCAAAGAAAAACAATATACTGTATACAGTACACTTTTTTTTTTTTCATCAAACTGGCCATATCCCACCATGGCAGGGTGACCTAAAAAAAAAAAAAGCGAAAGTTTCTCTTTTTAACTTTAGTAAAGTATACAGGAGAAGGAGTTTCTAGCCCCTTGCTCCCAGCATGTTAGTCGCCTCTTACGACACGCATGGCTTACGGAGGAAGAATTCTGTTTCACTTCCCCATGGAGATAAGAGGAAATAAACAAAAACAAGAACTAAGAAGAAGATAGAAGAAAACACACAGGGGTGTGTATACATATGCTTGTACATGCATGTGTAGTGTGACCTAAGTGTATGCAGAAGTAGCAAGACATACCTGAAATCTTGCATGTTTATGAGACAGAAAAAAGACATCAGTAATCCTACCATCATGTAAAACAATTACAGGCTTCCATTTTACACTCACTTGGCAGGACAGTAGTATCCCTGGGTGGCTGCTATCTACCAACTTACTACCTAGAGTACAATGATGATACAATATTTCAATTCAACAGCACAAAGAAGAGCTATAATTAAAACTTATATCTGTAATGTGCTGCAATTTCAAATTCTATCCAGATAATTACTGGACCCAGCCACCATCTAAAGATCACATTTTATAAGGCAAGTCTCACCTTGGTAGATATATCATTTCCTGCTTCTTGGAAGTTCATGATAGCATCAGACACCTTGTAGTTTACTGGCAGAACCACATTTTCTATGTTAAATGGATTTTCTAGCCTTTCTCCCACACTCACCATTGCATCTGCAAAAAATGTTTCCACAGATGAAAATAACAATAACTAATAATTTTTTTTTAAATACCGGCTGTCTTCCACTGAGGCAGGATGACCCAAAAAAAAAGGGGAGGAAACACATTCCCCATTTTTCATTTAATCACTGTCTTGCCAGAAGTGCACTAACATCACAGTTCAAATGACCCTTCCAACCTGCAACACCCTCATCCCTTCCTTTGAGTGCAGGCACTGTATTTCCCACCTCCAGGACTTAAGTTTGGCTAACTGCTTTCCAGTGGCATTGTTAGGGGGGAGGGGGTCAACCTGGGTGACACCACAGAGCCTCTAAAGAAGGTGACACTAATGCCCAAAACAGTGCTACAGTAACATAAGAGAAAAATCCTTCATTTCTCTATAGCCTCTTATATGATTACAGAGTACAAATAGGCCTATATAGGGAAAATCACTGATTTTGATGATGTAATAGATGATTTTGCAGGATTGAAGGCAAGGAAATGTATGATCAGATTCACTGAGATGTTACCTGTATGTAAAGTAAAAGGACACAAGTGCAACTAATGTGACATTTATTGTGGCAACGTTTCGCTCTCCAGGAGCTTGATAAAGCATTAAAATGGTATAAAATACCGACAGATTGTTAGGTAAGACACATATGCAACAGTTAGGTATCTTTATTTCGAAACGTTTCGCCTACACAGTAGGCTTCTTCAGTCGAGTACAGAAAAGTTGATAGAAGCAGAAGAGACTTGAAGACGATGTAATCAGTCCATCACCCTTAAAGTTTTGAGGTGGTCAGTCCCTCAGTCTGGAGAAGAGCATTGTTCCAAAGTTTGAAACAATATGGAGTTGAAGTGACAGGATGGAGCCTTTTATAGCGCCAGGAGGTGAGACAGGTCACTAGTAGAACGCAGATGTTGGGAGGTCAGGTCCCTCTCAAATGCAGCCGCTCTCACTAGTAGAGGTAGTCGAAGTTGATTCCAGGTCTGTACCAAGATACCCTTGTGTTGCAGTGTCTGACAGATTGAACATTAAAATGGTACTCGACTGAAGAAGCCTACTGTGTAGGCGAAACGTTTCGAAATAAAGATACCTAACTGTTGCATATGTGTCTTACCTAACAATCTGTCGGTATTTTATACCATTTTAATGTTCAATCTGTCAGACACTGCAACACAAGGGTATCTTGGTACAGACCTGGAATCAACTTCGACTACCTCTACTAGTGAGAGCGGCTGCATTTGAGAGGGACCTGACCTCCCAACATCTGCGTTCTACTAGTGACCTGTCTCACCTCCTGGCGCTATAAAAGGCTCCATCCTGTCACTTCAACTCCATATTGTTTCAAACTTTGGAACAATGCTCTTCTCCAGACTGAGGGACTGACCACCTCAAAACTTTAAGGGTGATGGACTGATTACATCGTCTTCAAGTCTCTTCTGCTTCTATCAACTTTTCTGTACTCGACTGAAGAAGCCTACTGTGTAGGCGAAACGTTTCGAAATAAAGATACCTAACTGTTGCATATGTGTCTTACCTAACAACACAGCTTGATAAAGCTCCTGGAGAGCAAACGTTGCCACAATAAATGTCACATTAGTTGCACTTGTGTCCTTTTACTTTACATATTGTCGGTAATTCTACCAACTTTATTACATGTTACCTGTACTCAAGGTCAAATTGGAACTAATGTTTTTCTTTATTTTTCATGTGTTTTTTTTTTCTTTTTTTTTTTTTTTTTTGCATTGTTGAAGATGAATAAATGTAGGATCTGTTGATTGTACTCAAAGTGGTATTTGAGTTTATGTGTCCTCAATATTACTATGATTATTTATTTTATCATTAATAAAGTTGAGAAGTATTCTCCTGTTCGTTTTGTGGCCCTTAAACGTTCTCATTGTTCAACATTAATCACTGGGCATGCAGTAGTGACGTAACTAGATTTTACTGCCCCCCCCATCCCCCACCCTTGGATTTCATGAGGGTGATACCAACCCTAGCAATGCCACTGCTGGTTTCCCTAAATCCATTCATAAATATTGCCTGTTCACACTCCAATAGCGTATCAAAGCATTTAACCCTTTCAAACACACACACCTTTGATATACCTTTGAAGAGTCTCAAGAGTTTAACTACTCTCAGCCTGGCCATGGGCCAGGCTTGTCCGGTGCTTGCCTGATCAAACAAACTGTTGCTGCTGGAGGCCCAGTACCCCACATATCCATCACAGCCTGGTTGATCTGGTACCTGGTGAAGACACTTGTCCAGTTTCCTCTTGAAGGCTTCTACACTTGTTCCAGCCATGTTTCTGATATCTTCTGGTAAGATGTTGAATAGTCTGGGACCCCGGATGTTGATACAGTGTTCCCTTATTGTCTCCACCACACCCCTGCTCCTCACTGAGTTTATTTTACACTTCCTCCCATATCTCTCACTCCAGTATGTTGTTATAAGAACATAAGAAAGGAGGAACACTGCAGCAGGCCTGTTGGCCCATACTAGGCAGGTCCTTTACAATTTATCCCACTTACAAAACATTTGACCAACCCAATTTTCAATGCTACCCAAGAAATAAGCTCTGATGTGCAAGTCCCACTCAAATCCAACCCCTCCCACTCATGTACTTATCCAACCTAAATTTGAAACTACCCAAAGTCCTAGCCTCAATAACCCAACTAGGTAGACTGTTCCACTCATCAACTACCCTATTTCCAAACCAATACTTTCCTGTGTCCTTTCTAAATCTAAACTTATCTAATTTAAATCCATTACTGCAGGTTCTCTCTTGGAGAGATATCCTCAAGACCTTATTAATATCCCCTTTATTAATACCTATCTTCCACTTATACACTTTGATCAGGTCTCCCCTCATTCTTCGTCTAACAAGTGAATGTAACTTAAGAGTCTTCAATCTTTCTTCATAAGGAAGATTTCTAATGCTATGTATTAATTTAGTCATTCTACGCTGAATGTTTTCTAACGAATTTATGTCCATTCTGTAATATGGAGACCAGAATTGAGCTGCATAATCTAGGTGAGGCCTTACTAATGATGTATAAAGCTGCAGTATGACCTCTGGACTTCTGTTGCTTACACTTCTTGATATAAATCCCAGTAATCTATTTGCCTTATTACGTACGCTTAGGCATTGCTGTCTTGGTTTAAGGTTGCTGCTCACCATAACCCCCAAGTCCTTTTCGTAATCTGTATGGCTAAGTTCTACATCATTTAACTTATAAGTGCTAGGGTTATGGACACTCCCGAGCTTCAGAACCTTGCATTTATCTACATTGAACTGCATCTGCCACTTTTCTGACCAAGAATATAGTTTGTTTAAATCCTCCTGAAGTTCCCTAACATCTACGTTTGAATCAATTATCCTACCTATCTTTGTGACATCGGCGAATTTGCTCATATCACTAGTAATTCCCTCATCAAGGTCATTGATGTATATTATAAACAACAACGGGCCCAAGACTGATCCCTGTGGAACACCACTTGTTACAGATCCCCACTCAGATTTAACCCCATTTATGGACACTCTCTGCTTCCTGTCTGTGAGCCATGACTTGATCCATGAGAGCACTTTTCCCCCAATGCCATGAGCTGCCACTTTCTTTAACAGTCTTTGGTGCGGAACTCTATCAAAAGCCTTACTAAAATCTAAGTAAATAATATCAAACTCTTTATCGTGGTCAACAGCCTCAAAAGCTTTACTGAAGAAAGTTAATAAATTAGTTAGACAAGATCGGCCTCTTGTGAATCCATGCTGAGTATCATTAATCAAGCTATGCTTATCGAGATGGCTTCTTATAATCTGAGCTATAATTGACTAGTAATTTGCCTACAGTTGAGGTCAGGCTTATTGGGCGGTAATTTGATGGTAACGACTTGTCCCCTGTTTTAAAAATAGGAATTACAATAGCCATCTTCCACATATCAGACACTACACCTGTTTGAAGAGATAAATTAAAAATATTAGTTAATGGTTCACAGAGTTCCATTTTTGCATTCCTTAAGAACCCTTGAAAAAACCTCATCAGGACCCGTTGACTTATTTTGCTTCAGTCTGTCTATCTGCTTCACAACCATTTCACTAGTGACTGTGATGTTACATAATTTATCTTCTTCTAGCCCACTATAAAAATTAATTACTGGAATATTGTTAGTGTCTTCCTGTGTAAAAACCGAGAGAAAATAATTATTTAAAATCGAGCACATTTCATTCTCTTTGTCAGTAAGATGCCCATAGTTATTTTTAAGGGGACCTATCTTATCTCTAACTTTTGTTCTATAGACCTGGAAAAAACTTTTTGGGTTAGTTTTAGAATCCCTAGCAACTTTAATGTCACAGTCCCTTTTAGCTTTTCTTATCCCCTTTTTAATGTCCCTCTTAATGTCAATATACTGATTCATAAGATGACCCTAACCTCTTTTGATATGCCTATAAATTCCTTTCTTATGCCCTAGTAGATATTTGAGCCTATTATTCATCCATTTTGGGTCATTTCTATTTGATCTAATTTCTTTATATGGGATAAACGTTCTTTGAGCCTCATGTATAGTGTTCAGAAAACTGTCATATTGATAGCTCTCTTCGTTACCCCAGTCAACAGATAAGTGTTCTCTAAGCCCATCGTAATCTGCTAAGCGAAAATCCGGGACTGTTACTGAGTTATCGCTACTATCGTACTTCCATTCAATGCTAAATGTAATTGATTTGTGGTCGCTAGCACCCAGTTCCTCTGAAATTTCTAAATTATTAACAAGGGATTCATTGTTTGCCAGAACTAAGTCAAGCAGGTTATTTCCCCTTGTAGGTTCTGTCACAAACTGCTTCAAAAAACAATCCTGAACTACTTCTAAGAAGTCGTATGATTCTAAATTCCCAGTCAAGAAATTCCAATCAATATGACTAAAGTTAAAGTCTCCTAGAATTACTACATTATCGTGCCTTGTGGCCTTAACAATTTCCTCCCATAGTAGCCTCCCTTGGCCCCTATCTAAGTTT